ATAGGGTCTCACTCTGTCACCCAGGCTGGAGTGCAGTTGCGCCATCTCGGCTCACTGCAACCTTCACCTCCTGGGCTCAAGTGATCCTTCTGCATGAGCCTCCCGAGTAGCTGGGATTGCAGGCATGCACCACCACATCCGGCTTATTTTTGTATTTTTTGTAGAGATGGGGTTTCACCATGTTGCCCAGGGTGGTCTTAAACTCCTGGGCTCAAGTGATCCCCTGGCCTCAGCCTCCCAACGTGCTGGGATTGCAGGCATGAGCCGCTGCATCCAGCCCTGTGTTCCTTCTTGTGTTACTTTCTTGTGATTTTTTCCTGGAATATGGGTAGCGATTCAGCTCTCCAATATTGAAGTTGCATTTCCTTTCTTCCAATTCATGTGTATCCGTTTTTATTTGGAAGTTTTGTTTTTATACATTCAATAATCATCTTTTCTTCCTTTGGTATTATTTACTATGGGTATTTTATATAATTTTCAAATGGATTAAATGGTTCAGTTTTACTCTCATTTATTATCGAGATTGAACATACTAGTTTATAATTTATATATTTTCTATTCCTTTACCTCTAATTTCTTTGTCAGGTGTTATGAACCAAAGATGTATAATAAGAAAAGCCAGTGTAGCTAAATTAAGTAAAAAATGAAGAAAAACACAGAGGTTCACCATTATGCATTTTTTTTATTCCTAATCTTTAGGTTGATGAGTTTTTTTATTTTTATGAAATGAGATTAATTTCCTGACTTTTTTAGTTTTGAGGCCAAGTAGTGAGTAAGAATGTATATTCTAGGGCCAGGCATGGTGACTCAGTCATGTAATCTCAGCACTTTGGGAGGCCGAGGCAGTAGGATCACTTCATTCCAGGAGTTTGAGACCAGCCTGGGCAACATGGCAAAACCCCGTCTCTACAGAAGAATACAAGAATTGACTGGGTGTGGTGGTGTGCGCCTGTAGTCCCAGCTACTTGGGAGGCTGAGGTGGGAGGATCACCTGAGCCTGGGGAGGTTGAAGCTGCAGTTAGCCATGACCATGTCACTGCACTCCAGCCTGGGTGACAGAGTGAGACCCTGTCTCAATTAAAAAAAAAAAAAAAGACTAGATTGTGAATTCAGATGTAGGTTTGAATCCCAGCTTTTCCAGTTAGTAGCTGTGTGACTTTGGGGAAGTTTCTTAGCATCTTTGATACTCAGTTTTATAATTATTATTTAAGATGTTGCTTGTAAAGAGTTTAGTATAGAGCCTGACATTTAGTAAGTGTTTAATAAATATTAGCTAACAGTAAAACTAGAACATAAATACTGAATTGTATTTTGTTATTAATTATCCATTTCTCTGAGAAGTACTGTTCCGATAGTACATTTATAGGAAACTTGTGGACGTCTACAAACATATACGTTAAATCTCTTAGAAAGCAACCTGGATGCCCATATTAGAGAACTCTATTTTAAAAATGCATTCTAAGTATGTTTGTGGACTTGAATAAAATAAAACAAACAGAAACAGAAGCACTTCTTTTTTTTGCCTTCAGGCTTGAAATGAACATACTTTTTTTAAAAAAAACCTTCAAAATGAAAATATTAAATAAAAAGTTTAATAAAAAGAGAAAGCAAAAACTGTAGTTTAATAAAGTCTTCCTGTCTCTTCATGGTTAAAAAATGTTATAGATGGAACAATTTTGAAATATTCTTGAAATAGATAATCTTTATTTAGATACTGTCTTTATTTAGATACTGACAGATACTGTCAAGCCAAAATAAAAACAAATAACTTTATTTCACTTTTGTAAAATTCCTTTTCTAAAATGATTGGAATCTTTAGTTGTTTTGAGAATTCCAAAACACGTTTATTGTTTGCTTATAGTTTCAGCCTTATTCAAAAATAATGTGACTGACACATGATATAGAGAAACTTGTTACAAAAATAACGTTAAAATCCACATTTACTACTTGGGAATCGAAAATATTGAAGTGCAATAAAGCAAAAATGTTTTAAATTATCCAAATGTAAAATTTATGATAGCTTTCCCCAGGGGCAGTTTATTATATGCTATTAATGAGCCTTGTTTATGCTGGAAATGTTCCATCTTTGGCCTTGCGCCTTAGAAATCATTCATGAGCACATATTTAAACTGGAGCACACATGTTCTTTTGTAGTATGGCTTGCACATCTGCCAGCTTTCAACAAAATTGTAGGCCCTGTTAATAATAGTCCTTTTGTGTTTGGTGAAAAAGATACGACACTGTCAGTGGTTTTGCTTTTAAAATTTCTTTTAAACTTTCAGTCTTTAGAAAACCTCAATAGTGGCACGGTAGAACCAACTCATTCTAAATGCTTAGATATGGAAAGAAATCTGGGTCTTCCAACTAAAGAAGAAGAAGATGATGAAAATGAAGCTAATGAAGAGGAAGAAGATGATGATAAGGGTAAGCACTGGAGTGTGTTTGAAATGACTCACCTGTGATTCCTACCACTGAATTTAACTTAGGATCCAGTTTTGGATGGTTTGGAGGTCAGGGATTTTGTGGCATATAATTATTGGATCCTTATAAGCTTTTGTCTCCTTAGTGCTTTTGTCTCCATAAAGCACAATCTTACTACTTACAAAAATAGAGTAATAGTTGCATTATGATAATAAAAATACCTTTCCCTTTGTTTTTTTGTATTAAATACAGATGTGATTTCTCCAAATCATTATAGTTCTCATTTAGAATTATTAAAGCTGAGAACTCTAATAATGAACTTTCATTGTTTCGTGGTAAATTATCTTGATTCTTTGTATTGCCCTTTCTTGGCTACTCAGGAATCTTTCAAGCTCACTGTGGACAGGGAAAGTGAGTTGGGCAGAGCTAACATAACTTCATTGTGCTGTGCAGTTAGAATTTTGACCAAAAATGTAGGTAACTATCTTTTCCTAACTAAATTAGATTTAGGTAACTAAACTAAATGAGATTTTGGTAACTAAATTTAGGTGTAACTACATTTAGCTTTAGGTAACTAAAACAAAGATTTTATTTTATCTGTGGACTTTTTTAGTGTAGCACTAATGTAATTTCTGATTACCATTAATTGAAGGTTGGTTATATTATCACATTTGGATTGTTATGTTATAACATCTAAATGTTAGCCTGTAGAAGTATTCCTGATTCTAAAACATCAGGTTTTTTTTTTTTTTTTTTTTTTTAATAGTCCTGGCAAAGTGTGAATCACAACAAAATTCTAATACTTAAAAGTAATCCAAGTGTCATATATGGTACCCAGAAGACCAATTTATATTGAAATTGAAAAATAGAAAACATTAACCCATGGTAGCTATCACTGTATTCTTTCAAAGAAGCCAGTGAAATGACCTGTTTTCTCCCTCTATGTGGTATTTTTCTATTTGAACATAAATGCCCATTTTATTTTATTTCAAGACTCTTTGTTGCCAGCACCCAATGAAGAGCAAGTTACTTGCCTCAAGATGTACTTTGGCCATTCCAGTTTTAAACCGTGAGTATAATCTCAGTTAATCAAATCACATATTTAGTATTCTCTTTATGGTTATACATGCCACACTGTTTTTTCTGTGTGACTACAAAATTATTTCAAAGTGATAATTTGTATAAAATTCATTTCTGCAAATTGTTTTTTATAAGTGAGGAGAAATGGTTTTCCTTTACCTGAGCAGTTCTGAGTAGAAACTTGTTTAAAGATACTTATAAAAAAGTGTTAATTTAATACTGACTTGTTTTTCATTAAATGAGTGTCTATGTGCCTGTTTTGTGTATATTACCCAGAACATGCAGATGTACTAGAAGTTCTTAATACAACAATTTGAGGAATAGTGATAATCTTATCTATTTTAATGTACTCAAAATATGTTTACAAATAGCGGGCACATTTTTGTAAGGATTAAATGAGATGAATAAGAATGAGATGAACAAGTAAATGTGAATAAAACTAATAAGCATATGAAAATCTAGACTGGATTTTTCCTATTCTGAGAATTTAAAATGTAATCCACTGAAGTATTTCTTTCCTCTTTTCTTTTGATCTTAAACATTTTTTATTTATGTCTTGCATACAGAAAAGTGCGCATGCTGTAGAGATCAATGAATTGTCATAAACTGGGCACCCTGTAGCCAGCACTTAGTTAAGAATAGGTCATTAACAGCATGCCAGAAGACCACCTCTCCAATTGGTTTTTCCCATGATATTAAGAAAATTTTCTAAGATGTAGTAAAGTTGAAAGAATTTTTTTTCTGTGCATGTCTGTATTCCCACCACCTAAATTCTACTATCATTACTATACTTGTTTTATTACGTATCAACTCTCTATCCATCCATTAATTCATTCCAGTTTTAATATGCATCTCAGGGTCAATTGAGGACACCATTACACTTCCGCCTAAGGATTTCAGCATGTAAATTATTAACGAGTTAAATATTTACTTACAGTTTTTTCTTTTGATGTAAAATTTGCACATAAGGAAATATAAAACTTTTTAAGTGTACATTTGCAAATTTTAAGTATACATGTGCATACCCATGTAACCCAAATTGTTATCAAGAGATATTATTATCATCACCTCACAGAGTTCCCTTATTTCCCTTTTCAGTCAGTTCTTGTCCCTGGAGCATTTCTCTTATTTTGAAGTATTGATTCTTTTGGATATCTAGTATGAAACTTAGAATCTGTTTTTTACTTTAGATGTATGTAATGAAATTTAATACATATACCAAATGGTAGTTGTTAGTTAGCTTGAATGGAAGGTTGGTCAAATGGCATTCATTGTTTTAAAGTTCCAAGTTTGTGCAGATTTATGTATGAAGTTCGAAAATAAATTCTATTAAAGGAAATGAAAAATTGAATGGATTTTAATTTGTACCTTGGGTTTCTTATTAATAAAACAAAATAGCTTTTTGCTTTTCACCTTCAAGAGTTCAATGGAAAGTGATTCATTCAGTATTGGAAGAAAGAAGAGATAATGTTGCTGTCATGGCAACTGGTAAGTTGTATTTAAGCAAATAACCTAATCCTTTAAAAATAAAGCATGAAGAGTTTGAAATAATCTTTCATTAAACTCTCAAAATACAAATGCAACTACAAATGATGTAAAATATAGAAGAGAGTGAACAGAGAACAGATGCTCAGATTTATGTATCAATTAACTTTTAGAAAGATAGCATACTAGTATTGACCATTCATCTGTATAAGTACATTGTAAAAAGAAATGAAAGCGTCAAAGGTTTATTTTTATTTCTATGAGCGTATTTTTTTCATTTCAAGGATATGGAAAGAGTTTGTGCTTCCAGTATCCACCTGTTTATGTAGGCAAGATTGGCCTTGTCATCTCTCCCCTTATTTCTCTGATGGAAGACCAAGTGCTACAGCTTAAGTAAGTCATGTTATCATTGCTGCAACATCACCCTCTTTTTTTCTTCTGCGGGTGAAACATCTGATCCATCATGCATGTTAAAATCTAGTTCACAATAACACATTTCTGCAGGTATTGCTTTATCTTTATTAGTAATAAATGACACTTTAGTGGAAGAGCTTATCTTCTTTCTTGTGTTCTCTGTAATTCAAAGCTATCAGGTGGCCCTGATAAAATTCTTTTGAAAAACATTATTACTTTATGCTGGTTTATGTTGAATATCTCAAAATTATTTTCTGTTTCTATTATGCTTGCTTTTTAGCTTGATAAGAAGTGTATACATGGAAGTATATTTTTTATCTATGAAAAATTTTTCAGCTTCTTCAACCTGAGCTTGCAATCTGTTTTTAAATTGATACATAATATCTTTACATATTCATGGGGTACTGTAGTATTTTGTTACACTCATATCAAATACACTTGATCAAATCAGGGCATTTGTTCATCTTCATCAGCTTGAACATTTATCATTTCTTTGTGCTGGGAACATTTCTAATCTTTTCTTCGAGTTGCTTTGAAATATACAGTATTATTGTTGTTAACTATAGTTACCCTACTGTTGGTTAATGAGTACAAACATACAGTTAGATAGAAGGAATAGGTTCTAGCAAAGAACCAGAGTATACATTATTATATTTCTTTATTCTTGCTCACTTAAGAATCAAATTGATATGTGTAATGTGTACATGGGGCCAGAATATTTGTTTTTCTTCTTATAGAATGTCCAACATCCCAACTTGCTTCCTTGGATCAGCACAGTCAGAAAATGTTCTAACAGACATTAAATTGTGAGTAATTTTTTTTCCCTCAACTTTTATTTTGGATTCATGGGGCTGCATGAGCAAGTTTGTTACATGGGTGAATTACATGTTGCTGAGGAAGTTGTGAGTCATTTCTGTGATTTCTAATCATGTGGTCAGATGTCTGTGGTATATGAGAGACTTTTGTACACAAACAAATTTTATTAAATGCCTGAAAAAAAGTCCATGATTTTAAAATGCACTTTCTTTTTATAGTACCTTTGCAGGACTGTTACTTTTTAAATCCTTCAAACTTGAAGAAATCTGTTATTCTCAGTTCTTGGGCTATAAGATTCGCATTGTAGTCATAGAATTATAAAAATTTTGGTTTTGGAAGAGAAGCTGGAGCGTATCAAGATTTGTCTCATTTTATAGATGAGAAAACTGAGGCTCAGAGACAAGTAATTTGCCCAAAGTCACTCAATGACTGACTGATCAGGGACTGGATTCTAGGTCTCTTACCCAACGAATTCTATCATGATGTAATTCCTAAGGAGACTATCATCTCAGCCACACATACACACACCCGTTTTTTTTGTGTGTGTGTGTATATATATGTATACACACACAAACATATATACACACATATATACATACACATATATTAATATATATGCATATATATGCATATTCTAATTCAGAACATTTTCATCACTCCCAAAAGAACACCCCTGCCCATTAAGCAGCTGCTTTCTTTACATACATATTAGTATATACATACACATGAGATACACATGTATTTACTGAGTTTTGATAAATACATACAAAGATGTAAACCAAACCTCTAACAAGATACAGAGTATTACTGACACTCTAGAAAGTTTCTTCATGTCTCTCTCCAGTCTGTCCTTCCATCCTCCATCCTAGGCAAGCCTCTGCTCTGATTTTCTCTACCATAGTTTGGTAGAATGCCATATAAATGTGTTCACACAGTATGAACTCTTTTGTGTGAGACTTCTTTCATTTGGTGTAATGTTTCTGAGATTCTTCCCTGCTGTTGCATGTATCAGTAGTTTTTAGTTTTGTTTTGTTTTTGTTTTTTTAGAGACACCGTGTCCTGTCACCCAGGCTAGAGTACAGTGGTGCAATCATAGCTTACTGCAGCCTCTAACTTGTGGGCTCAAGCTATCCTCCTGCCTCCCAAGTACCTAGGGCTACAGGCATGTTCCACCATGCCTGGCTAATTATTAAATTTTTTGTAGAGACAGGAGCTTCCTTGGTTGCCCAGGCTGGTCTTGAACTCCTGGCCTCAGGATTGTTTCCAGTTTTGGAGTATTACAAATAAAGCTGCTATGAACATTCACATATAAGTCTTTGTATGGACATATGTTTTCATTTTATTGATACATATCAAGAAGTGGATCCTGTGGTGGATATATGTTTAACTTTTTTTTTCTGAGATAAAATGAGAAAGCGATCCTCCCGCCTTGGCCTTCCAAAGTGCCGGGATTACAGGCGTGAACCACTGCACTTGGCATAGTTGTTTGTTTGTTTGTTTGTTTTTTAAATATCTGAGTGTTATTTTATTATATTTCATTGAATATAGCACAGTTTGTTTTTACATTTTCTTATTGATAGACACCTAGGCAATTTTTCTAGTTTTGGACTGTTCCTAATAAAGCTGCTATACACATCCTTATAAAAATCTTTTTTGTGAACATGTTTTCTTTTTTTCTAAGCATTTTAAATCACCTTTATTGAGGTGTAATTGACTTACAATAAATTTTGTATGCTGAGAAAGTATAATTTGATAAGTTTTGGCACAGGTATGCACTCACGAAACCATCATCACAATCCAGATAATGAACATATTCATCACCCACAAAGTTTACCTTTTTGTTTCAATCCCAGTCACCAGGTAATTGCTGATCTCCTTCCTGTTACCATAGACTAGTTTGCGTTTTCTAAAATTATGTATACGCGGAGTCAATCATATTTTATGTGCTCTTTTTTTTTTGTCTGGTTTAAATAATGCAATATAATTATTTTGAGATTCATCCGTGTTATTACATTGAGTAATAGTTCATTCCTCTTACTGTTAAGTGGATTACATTTTATGGATATCCAACAAGTTGTTTATCCATTCACCTCATAGACATTTGGATTGTTTCCAGTTTTGAGTTCTTACAAATAAAGCTGCTGTGAACATTCATATGTAAGTCTTCGTATGGACATATGTTTTCATTTTATTGATTTTATATGAAGGAGTGGAATGACTGGAACATGTGATGGATATATGTTTAACTTTATTTTTTCTAATTGAGGTAAAATTCACAGAACATAACTTTTACCATTTTTAAATTTTATTTTATTTTGAGATGGAGTCTCGCTCTGTTGCCCAAGCTGGAGCACAGTGGCGTGATCTTGGCTCACTGCAAGCTCCATCCCCTAGGTTCACGCCATTCTCCTGCCTCAGCCTCCCAAGTAGCTGGGACTACAGGCGTCCACCACCATGCCCGGCTAATTTTTTTATATATTTTAAAAATATTTTTAGTAGAGACGGGGTTTCACCGTGTTAGGCAGGAATGGTTTCTGTCTCCTGACCTCATGATCTGCCCTCCTTGGCCTCCCAAAGTGCTGGGATTATAGGTATGAGCCACTGTGCCCGGCCACTTTTACCATTTTAATCGTTACTAAAGTCCAGTGGGTTTTGGTGTAGTAATACTATATAGTATAATATATAATATGTAACATTATTACTATATGATATATAGTAATACTATATAATATATATTATACATAATATTATTATATATTAATTCCGGAACATTTTCGTAACTCCCAAGAGAATTTCCGTACCCATTGTGTGGTCATTCCCTATTGTCCCTTTTATTTTCTTTTCTTTTTTTCTGAGACAGGGTCTCCCTCTGTCGCCCGGGCTGGAGTGCACTGGCATGATCATGGTTCACTGCAGCCTTGATTTCCTGGGCTCAATTGATCTTTCCACCTCAGTCTCCTGAGTGCTGGAACTGTAGGCACAAGTTACCATACCTGGCTAATTTGTTTTATTTTTAATAGAGATGAGATTTTGCTCTGTTGCCTAGGTTGTTCTCAAACTCCTGGGCTCAAGTAATTGTCCCACTTCAGCCTTCCAGAACACTGGGATTACAGGCGTGAGCCACTCTGCCTGGCCTTTTGTCTCTGTTCTGCCCACTTCCAACCACTAGTCTACTTTATGTCTCTATGATTTGCCTATTCTGGATATGTCTATAAATGAACTCATACAGTACATGGTCTTTTGTGTCTGGCTTCTTCTTAGCATAATCATATCAGTACTTCATTCAGTCTTTTTTTATGACTGAATAATATTCCATAGTATGGGCATACACATTTTAAAAAATTCGTTCATCAGGGATGGACATTTGGATTGTTTCCTTTTTGGCTGTTATGAATAATGGTGCTATGAACATTTGTGTACCAATTTTTTTATGAACATACATTTTCAACGCTTTTGCATATATGCCTAAGAGTGGAATTACTGGACTATATGCTAATTCTTTGTTTAAGAAACTACCAAGCTTTTGAGAATGATTGTATCATGGGATGTTCCCACCAGCAGTGTATGAGAGGTCCAGTTCCTCCCCATCCTTGCCATCACTTAGTCTAGCTGATCTTTAATTTAAGCCATTCTAATAGTATCTCATTTTATTTTTAGTTTGCTTTTCCCTAATGACTAATTATATTGAACATATTTTCATACACTTACTGGCCATCTGTATATCTTCTTTGAGGAAGTGTCTGTTAAAATCTTCTGCTTATTCTTTTTACTTATTGAGTTTTGATAGTCATTTCTATATTCTGAATATAAATTCTTTATTTGATATATACTTTAAAAACATTTTCTCCTAGTTTATGACTTTTCATACTTTCCACATAGTTCTTTTGAAGAGCAGCAGGTTTTCATTTTGATAAAGTCCAGTTTGTCAATTTGTTCTTTTAGGGATTTTTGCTTTTAGTGTTTTGACCCAAGGTTACAAAGATTTGCTTTTATGTTTTCTCCTAAAAGTTTTATAGTTTTAAGTTTTACATTTAGATTTATGATTCATTTTTAGTAAATGTTGTCTATTGTAGGAGATATTGATTACAGTTTATATATTTTTCACCTATTGTTCCAGCTCCATTTTTAAAAAAGACTATGCTTTTACACTGAATTGACTTTGTACCTTTGTCAAAAATAAATTGACTGCATATATGTGGGTCATTTGCTGCACTCTCTATTCTGTGTTTGGTGGATCTATGTCTGTCTTGATTGGTGTCTTGATTACTGTAGCTTTATAATAAACCTGGAAATCAGATAGTGCAAGGCCTCTAGCTTTGTTCTTTTCTTTCAGAGTTTTTCTGGCTGTTCTATGTCCTTTGTATTTCTGTGAGCATGTCAGCATCACCTTTTTAACCAAAATGCCCGCTGGGATTTTGATTGCGTTTACCTTGAATCTAGATATTGAAACAATAGCTGCCTTGATAATTATTGTCACTGTTTTATACCAAAGAAACTGGGCATGCTAAAGTAACTTGGCTAACATCACTTACCTTGTAAGGAGTAGAACTGGGCAGTTTGACATCAGAGCTTATTCTTTATACTGCTTCCTATGTTAATTAGAATACAATGTTAATTTCATAAAGGTAAAGGCATATCTGTTTTGTTAATATTTGATTCCTTGTGAAAGCGCAGTGCCTAGCGCACAGTAGACACTTAAACATCTGTTGAATGGACAGGTGAATGCTTTTAAAGTCTTTTCATATAGAAAATTAAGTTTCATTACATTTGGCTTGATCTGGGTCTTCATTTCATAGAATGGAGCACAGACTCTGTAAATATTTTGCCCCAGACCTAGCCTTATTACAAAGTGTCTTAATTAGGATTCTGTCTACCCAGAATAGAAATTAACTCAAGCTAGCATAAGTGTATATTGAATTTTGTATTAAGGATAAAGGAATGTCTCATAGATCCCACTTAAAAGAAATTAGCCAGCCCTTAGGAAGAGACTGGAATTGGGTTTGGAAAATACAATAGGGCTTTCTTTTTATCTATAGTCTTTAGTGAGTCATCCTCATTTTTCTCTCTGAAGAGGTAAGCATTCTCTGTATGTATATAGCCATCTTTTAGATTTTCGTTACATAAAGTATTTAAACATTCATCAGGTATTTTGATTTTAAGTTGTAATTCCTTGAGATGATTGTTTTCTTTATTGTTAATATGTTTCCTTTCTTTTTTTTTTTTTTTTTCTTTTTGTTTTGTTTGTTTTTGCAGAGGCAAATACCGGATTGTATACATAACTCCAGAATACTGTTCAGGTAACATGGGCCTACTCCAGCAACTCGAGGCTGATATTGGTAAGTGGTAAAGAAAGATCTTTGTAAATACTTACTGAGTTAATCTTTAAAGTTAAACCTATGGATGGACACTGGATTTCACTTCTGTTAAAATCTATTTCAAACATTACTTCCTCCAGGAAATCTGACTCTCTAATTGGGCGTTTCACCTATCTTATCCCATGATACTCTATAATTCCTTTTGCTACAGAAATTAGGCTCTGTTAGCATAATTGCCTGTTTATATATCTGTTTTCTTCTGCTAGGCTATACACTTTTCAAGGGAAAAATACCACTTCTTAAAATTTATGTTTCCCCAATGCAGTCAGTGTGCTTGACACATAGGCACTTAAACATATTGTTGAATGAATGTTGAATCCTAGGTTCTATGAAATTTTAATTTACTTGGTTTTCATGTTCTGTATCTAAATTAAGTTAATGTAGTGGTTTTGTACTCTCTTTGTTCATAAGAATCACTTTTCCATCTTAAAAAAAATGTAGGTAACCAACCCCCAACCTTGAAAATTCTGATTTAACAGGCGTGGGGTGGCACCTGGCATTGGTGGCTTCTCACAGGTGATTCTGATGTATAGCCAGGGTTGGAAACCACAGTACCTTTGATTAGTTGCCACTAGTGAGTTTGATTTATTACAAAAACCAAAAACTTGGATAAGTCAGAGTTTATTTCCTAGAAAGTGTAAATATAGAATTAGTCAAAAGCTGATAGCACTTTTTTTTGTTCTTAAAAATATTTTAAGCCTCAGTATAGTGAGACCTCGTCTCTACAAAGAATTTTTTAAAAAATTGGCCAAGCCTGGTGGTGCATGCCTGTAGTCCAAGCTACTTGGGAGGCTGAGGTAGGAGGATTGTTTGAGCCTGGGAGATGGAGGCTGTGGTGAGCCGACATTACACTACTGCACTCCATCCTGGGCAACAGAGCGAGACCATGCCTCAAAAAAGAATTTTTTTTTCTTCTTGGTGGTTAGGTTCAACTATCCAAGAATTGCAATCATGGCTCCTCTTGCAAATGCCCCTATTTCACACTCTCAGTTGACCTAACCAAATTTAATTTTTCAATATCATATGATCTTGTTATATAATTATGTATTGAAATAATTCCAGATAGGTTAGGTTTTCACATTGCAACGTCTCGTTTAACGGTTACTTTCATATAACTGTAGGAAAGCATTTGATAATTTTTCCAACAATATAATGAAAACAAACTTGTATCTTTTTTGGTATGTGTTAAAACCAACAACAGAATGAGGGCAGCAATTAACATTTCATTAAATATATTAGCAACGAGTACATTTATGAGCTCTTAAACTCCCTTATTGACATACTATATTTTTTGCCTTTAATGGACAATGAATTTGATATGTTTCCTATTAGGTTGTATGAAGTTCTTGTGAATATTTCACTTTGAATTAAGAATAACTACCCTATATATAAATTTCATGGTTGTATTGCAAAAGCTAGGGTCTATGTCTTTAGTGGTCTGGGTACGTTTTTACTATTTGCTTTGTTTCTGTGATAGTGTTAAATGAATAATAAGCTTAAGTATTTAAACAAATATTTAATACTTTTGACAAGTAGTTAAAACTCTATTTTTATTTTTTTGTAATGGATGAATTATGAACACTGCAATTATTAGAGCAGTGTACTTTGCTTATGATGGATGAAAATGTTCTCTGGTTGACTCAGTGTTGAATAAAAAGGGATAAATTAAATAAAAATTATTTTTGAAATATTTTCCTTTGCCTTTTGTTGCGGGAAATTGTACAATGCTTGCAGAAATGAATATACGCAGGATGTTATTTGTACAGCAGTCTGACATTTAGCTAATCAGATTCCTCATTTTTTGGTAAATGTTAAATTACTTAAGTAGTCTGGATTTTTAACAGAAAGAGCAAACATAGTTTTATAGGGAGACTCCTTACCAACCAGACTTTTAACTTAAGTGAATGTTGGCAAAAGCTTGTCTAAACTGATTTTGAGGGATAAGGTTTAGCTCCATTAAAAGCTACTTTGTCAAACCTGTAACTAAAGCTTTTAAAAAAAGGAAAGTTTTAAAGTAAAAGAGACCATCATCTCTGTTTCAACCTATTTAATTTAAAATCTGAGCTGAAGTAGGAGTATTGCTTCCACCCAGGAGTTCGAGACCAGCCTGGGCAACACAGTGAGACCCCATTTCTGAAAAAAAAAAAATGAGCTAAGCATGGTACCTGTTATAGTCCTACTTACGAAAGAAAGAGAGAGAGAAGGAAGGAAGGGAGGAAGGAAGGAAGGAAGGAAGGAGGGAAAAATCAATCAGTCACTCAGGTTTAGTTTCAAAAGCCAAAATAATTATAGTGATAATATTGAATTTTTTCCAGCCACTCAGTAGTACCCAGAGAATTTTGATACAAATAACTGACTTTGCCCCCATGTTTAGTAGGTTTTTTTTTTTTTGGCTTTCTTTCTCCTCCACACTGTCTTAAGACTGTTGTAACTTGTAATGTCAATGAATTGTAATTGTTTATTTGCATGTCTGTCTCCTCTTTTAGAATTGTGAATTCCTCAGGTCATGGATTGTATTTTATTAGTCTTTTTATTGCTAGAAAAGTGTTTGGATAATAATAGATATTTATTAACCATAATAGGAGTAGTAGCAATTTTTTTGTGTGTGTGCCAGGCCCTATTTTAGCATTTTATGTGAATGATATAATTTAATCTTTAGAGCATCTAGAAAATGTTAGGTACTATTATTGTCCACATTTTACTTGTGAGAGGACTGAGACTTGGAAAGCTTAAGTAACTTGCTTAAGGTAATACACATGACAGGTGGTGGAGCCAAGTTCTGCATCTGGGCAGTCTGACTTTAGAGCTTTTTAATCATCCTCCTCTTAGTGTCTGAACATTATTAATGCTCAGAGAAGTATCAAAGAATGATCATACTCATTAAAGGAAAAACTTATTCTTATGTATCAATTTGTTAATTGAGGGCAAAAGCACGACTGTTACTACTTTGAAAAATCTGAAGACATTGTTCTGACATGCATTACAACACACTGTTGATTCCGCTTCAGTGTGTGTGTCTGGTGTGGGGGCAGAGCAGAGAGGCTTCTACAGGAAGAAAGAACAAATTACGTTTCTTCTTACCTACTTTGTACATCATGTGATTTAGCTCTTCCCATACCATTTTACATTAGAAAATGTGGCTGTCCTCCTGTGCTCTGATACTGGCATTTCAGAGGACTCTGCAATATGATGTGTGGCAATGCAGTTAATTTCAGTAGAAATTTGCTGGCTCTTTTTATCTCTTTTAATAGCTAACGCATGAGACAAAATTGAAGGTATTACCAAAGAGAAATGCAGGTGGATAGTTTTGGAGACAAAGTCACAGTAAGCAATTCATCTCTCCAAGGAATAGTGATGAAAGCTGAGATCCAATAAATGTCTTCTTTGGATTAATACATAAATATTTCCTTTTAAAATTCTTAAGCCTTTTATTCATATATCTCCCCTCTCCCTATTTCCAATAATGATTTTTTGTCTTAATATGATGGTATTTATGCTTCTGTTTTTATAGGAACCAAATACTTTGATTTTGGTTATTTGTTCTCCTTCGGAGATGTAGATGAGTTTATTTTTTCCTTTTGAGCTTTATGTTTTCCTTTACGTGTTTTTCTTTTTTATAGGTATCACACTCATTGCTGTGGATGAGGCTCACTGTATTTCTGAGTGGGGGCATGATTTTAGGAATTCATTCAGGAAGTTGGGCTCCCTAAAGACAGCACTCCCAATGGTAAGCTTTGCCAAGTCTGATGTCCCGAAATTACGTTCTTACTAAGGAGAGCATTCAGGATTGGGGAGTGGTAAAAAAGCTGGAGACTTCACTATAAAAGAGCAAATGGATAATATGAAAAGAGAACTATTTTTAAAAAAATTCTAAAGTTGGCATATAATCTATTGAGGAATACAGTAGAACAAGACTTGACAAACCTTTTCTGAAAGGACCAGGTAATAAATATTTCAAGCTTTATAGGCCACATGTAGTCTGTATCACATATTCCTCTCTCTCTCTCTTTTTTCTTTTAGTAACCCTTTAAAAATGTAAAGGGTTACATTTTTCACTGGTGGGCCATAACAAAACAGGCTGTGGGCCATATTTGTCCAAATGTCTTCTCAGTGATCTTTCATCCATATATCCTTTTACTCTAGGATGCTGTGAAATCCCGGTTACCCCTTATTGTATCACATTGAAAACCTAAAGTTTGAACTATTCTACAGAGATTTTATTAAAGCTTTCAGTATTAGAATTTCCCTTTCTTCCCTATTATAAAAAATAGCAAATTTTGACCAGTCGCCGGGGCTCACGCCTGTAATCCCAGCACTTTGGGAGGCCAAGGTGGGCGGATCACCTGAGGTCAGGAGTTCGAAACCAGCCTGGTCAACGTGGTGAAACCCTGTCTCTACTAAAAATACAAAAATTATCTGGGCGTGGTGGCAGGTGCCTGTAATCCCAGCTACTCGGGAAGCTGAAGCAGGAGAACCGCTTCAACTCAGGAGGCGGAGGTTGCAGTGAGCCAAGATCGTGCCATTGCACTCCAGCCTGGGGAACAAGAGTGAAACTCTGTCTCCAAAAAACAAAACAAAACAAATTTTTACATGAATATTCTACATGATTGGCATATTTACATGAATGGTTTAAAAACCCACAGTACTAGCACTGTTTTATTTTTTATTTTGAAAATTGTAAATTCACAAGAAGTTGTAAAAACAAAAACAAAAACAAAAAAAATGTATAGAGAGGTCCTATGTACCTTTCACCCAGTTTCCTGAACAGTATCATCTTGCATGACTATAGTACAGTATCAAAACTAGGAATATGACATTTGTACAGTATCTACAGTTTATTCTTATTTCTCCAGTTTTGTAAGTATTCTTTTGCATGGTGTGTGTATTGTTCTATACAGTTTAATCTCATGTACATTTGTGTAACTACCACTGCAGTCAGGATACCAAATGTTCCCTTACCACAAAGCTCCCTGGAGCTGTTCTTCCCACCCCTGGCGCTAGCCACTGGCAACCACAAATCTGGTCTCACTCTCTAAAATTTTATTTCAAGAATGTTATATACATGGAATCATGCAATTTGTCACCTTTTGGAATTAGTTTTTTTCACTCAACATAATTACCTTGAGATCCATTCAAGTTGTTTGTGGTCATGTGTTGCTTAACAACAGGGATATTGTTCTGAGAAATGTGTTCTTAGGACATTTCGTGGTTATCTGAACATGCACTTACACAAACTTGTATGATAAAGCTTACTGCATACCTAGGCTGTATGGTAGAGCCTATTGCTCCTAGGCTGTAAACCTGTCCAGCATGTTACTGTAATGAATACTGCAGGCAATTGTAATACAATGGTAAGTATTTGTGTATCTAAACATATCTAATGTAGAAAAGGCACAGTAAAAATACAGTATAAAAGATAAAAGATGGTATACCTGTATAGGGTGCTTCCTGCAAATGGAGCTTGTAGGACTGGAAGTTGCTCTGAGTGAGTGAGTGAGTGGTGAGTGAATGTGAAGGCCTAGGACATTACTCTACACTACTGTAGGCTTTATACATATTGTACACTTAGTCTACACTAAATTTATTTTAAATTTTTCTTTAAAAATTTTCTTCCTTTAATAATAAATTAATCTCAACTTTTGATTAATTTTGATTCATAAACCTAAAACACTTTTTGACTTTGGACTCTTGTAATAACTCTTCGATTAAAACATAAACACATTGTATGGCTCTACAAAATTTTTTCTTCCTTGATTAATGCATTCCATAAGCCTTTATTTTAAAATTTTATTTTTATTTTTTAAACTTTTTTGTTAAAAACTAAAATACAAACACACATATCAGCCTAGACCTACACAGGGTCAGGATCATCAGTATTACTGTCTTCCACCTCCACATCTTGTCCCACTGGAAGTTCTTTAGGGGCAGTAACACTCGTGGAGCTGTCATCTGTGATAACAATGCCTTCTCCTAGATACCTCCTGAAGGACCTGCCTGAGGCTGTTTTACAGTTAACTTTAGAAAATGAATATGTAGAAGGAGTATACTCTAAAATAATGGAAAAGGGTATAGGTAAATATGTGAACCAGTAACATACTTGTTTATTATTCATCAAGTTATATACTGTACATAATTGTATGTGCAATACTTTTTAATGACTGGCAGAACAGTAGGTTTATTGATAGCAGCATCACTACAAACATGAGCAGTGCCTTGTGCTAAGACATTATGGCGGCTATGACATCACCTGGTGATAGGAATTTTTCAGCTTCATTATAATCTTATGGGACCACTGTTCTACATGTGGTCTGTCATTGACAGAAATGCCATTAAGTACCACGTGACTGTTTTTCGGAAGTCTGTTCCTTTTTATTATTACAGAGTATTCCATGGTATGGTTGTACTACAGTTTTAACTGTTCACCTGTTGAAGAACTTTTGGGTTGTTTTCCAGTTTTTGACTATTATGAATAAAGATGTTATGAACATTTGTGTGTATCTCAAAAGTTCTTCAATAGGTGAATGGCTAAACAACCTGAAAATATAAAAGTTTTCATTTCTCTGGGATAAATGGCCAGGAGTGTATTTTTAGTTTTTAAGGAATTGCCAAACTGTTTTCCAAAGTGGCTATAGCATTTTACATTCCTGTCAGCAGTGTGTGAATGATCTAGTTATCCTTGCCACCGTTTGTTGTTGCAACTGTTTTTTATTTTAGCCATTTTGATAGGTGTCGAGTGGTATCTCACTTTTAATTTGCATTTCTCTCGTGGCTAATGATGTTGAATGTCTTTTCATATGCTAATTTGCCTCCGGTGAAATTCCTTATATAATTGGAGTGCTTGTTTTTTTCTGTTGAGTTTTCAGAGTTTAAAAAATACATTATAGAAATGAGTCCTTGGTCAGATACGTGGTTTCAAATATTTCTTTCATTTTGTAGCTTGTCTTTTCATTCTTTTTATCATGTCTTTCACAGAGTACATATTTTACATTTTAGTGAAATCCAGTTTATCATTTTTTCGTTTATGGATTGTACTCTTCACCTAGCCCTAGATCCTGAAGATTTTCTCCTATGGTTCTTTCCTAAAATTGTTACAGTTTTATGTTTTAGGTCTGTGATCCATTTTGAGTTAAATTTTGTATAAGATGTGAGGTTTAAGTCAAGGTTCATTGTTTTCCCAATAGACGTTAAATTACTGCAGACCCTTTGTTGAACAGGCTGCCCTTCCCTTGTTAAATTGCATTTGCCCTTCTTTGCAAGTCATTTGGGTGTATTTGTCTAGGTCTATTTCTGGGTTCTCTAGCCTGTTATATTAATTTTGAATGAATAAATAAAGTTGACTTATGTTTAAGTTTTCTTGGTAGTAGTGAGGCAGTGGTGCCTTCTGAGCCCAGGATTTCCCAGTTTTGTGAGTAAACTGTGTTAGAAATTGTTTGTTATTCTTTTGGTAGATTGTCTAGTTCAATTTCATTGCTCATTAATCTTGCTTATAGATAGCAAATTGAGAGGAATCTCAAAAATAGTGTCTTTTGTTAGCTTATCTCACAGAGTTTGGTTGGAGCAGATATTAAAACAGAACAAACCAAAAAGAAATTAAATATACTAGTTAGCAAGTTTATATTGAGGGAAAATCAAGCCATGTGAATTGAGCTCCAGTGATGTGGCTGACCTTGGGTCAGATTTTTGTATTATGGTTCAACAAGGTAGCTGTTAAAATCTTCATACTACTTCTTGAAATAATTCTTCAGTAGTCACGTAGGACAGCACACACTCCTGGATTTCTTCTTTCCTTACTGTCTCTTTATTCTCAGTCTCCTGTTTCTTCTCATCTCCCTGCCCTTTTAATGTTGGCCTTCCAGAAACCTTAGTCTTTGGACCTACCTTTGTACTCATTTTCTTGGTCATTTCACCTAACATACAATTTTATTTTATTTTATTTATTTTTTAATTTTTGACATAGAGTTTCACTCTTGTTGCCCAGGCTGGAGTGCAATGGCGTGATCTCAGCTCACTGCAACCTCTGCCTCTAGGGTTCGAGTGATTCTCCTGCCTCAGCCTCCCGAGTAGCTGGGATTACAGGCAGGCACCACCATGCCCAGCTAATTTTTGTATTTTTAGTAGAGATGGTGTTTCACCATAGTGGCCAGGCTGGTCTCGAACTCCTGACCTCAGGTGATCCACTTGCCTTGGCCTTCCAAAGTGCTGGGATTACAGATGTGAGCCACCACGCCCAGCCTGCAGTTTTAAATACCAAGCCTATGCTGAGAACTCCCAAATTTTTATCTCCATCATAGACTGATATCAGCAGTATATGAGTGATCCAGTTGTTTTTGCCTCTTTGCCAGCATTTGGTGTTGTCACTATTTGTTCATTTTAGCCATTTAGTAGAATATATGTACATATATGTGTGTACACACAGGCACACATCTATGTAACTACTCAACATGCCTCTGGTGAGATGACCAAAAGGTGTCTCAAACTTAACCTCTTCCTAACTGACTTCTGCGTAGCACTCCAGATCTGCTCTTTGCTCACTCGGTTCTCCATCTTGTTTAACGGCAACTCCATTGGCCAAAATTTTGGAATTTTCCTCAATTTTTTCTCTTTTTCTCACACTCCACTGTTTATTTAAACAGTAAGGAAATCTCGTGAGGTCTTCAGAATATATGCAGGATTAAATCATTTCTCTCTTGATCCCTGCCATTCCCCAGGTAAAAGCCACCATCTCCTTAGAGCCTCCTGCTTTCACTCTTCCCATCCCTCATTCTGTTTCAACACAGCGTCCAGAGTGATACTTTAAAAATGAAGTCAGATAGATCATGTCTTCTGCTCAGAACCACCTAGTAGCATGCCATTTCCCTCTAAATAAAGGCAAAAGCCCCTTCCATTTTCCCTCTGACCTCATTCTCTCCTCCTTGTCTCCTCATTCACCGGATTCAGCCACATCACCCTCTTTGTTTTTCTTTGTACATTCCAGGCATGCTCCAGTGCCTGGGCTTTGTGCCTGCTGCTTCCTTTCCCTGAATACGTTTCCCCCACATTATCTGTGTGATGTTCTCCCCTACTTCTCTCAGATGTTTTGCATTTAGGCCTTCTGGGCCGCCATATTTGAAATATCAGATTAGTTTCCCCTCCCCCATCATTCAACATTACTCCTGAACCTTTGCTTTTTTAAAAATAGCACTATCACTGTTTAACTTACTATGTTATATTTTGTTAATTTTCTGTGAGTTCTTTTTCACTGGAATATTCTTTGTAGGGAGGAGTTTTTGACTGTTGGTTTATAAAATCTAGAACAATACCTGGCTTATAGGAGGTGCTCTATATATAACGGGGTGAATGAATGAATGAATTCTGATGAGAAAGCTGAGAATTAGTAAAGTGACTTTCCAAAACAGGTAGTGGGCAGTATAGAGTTGGGCCATAAATAGCTACACCATACAAGCAAATGATTTGAAAGAGGCATAAAATGTAATTTCTGCCCTCAAGTAGCTCATAGTTCAGTAAAGGAGTCTAGATTCATACCTATAACAGTAGAAGTAATAGTACCAAACAAAATATGGTATTATGAAGTGGTACAAATAATACAAAAAGATGAACAGTGTTAGTAGTACATGTTTAGAAGGGATTTCTGTGGTGAAAGTTGCTACGCACAGTGCACCTGGAGGACTGATTTCCATTAATTTAGAATGGTTTAAAATAAGCTTTTGGAAACTAGGAAGATTACTTTCTGTAATCCTTTCCTAGGCCTTTGATTCTAGAAGGATTGTGTTAAAGGAGTTTTAAATATTTTATACAGTTCTTAAACATTTTTTGGCTTGAATTAAATCTTGTATTATGTCTGGTCATGGATGTCATTGGATCATTTTCATTTCTTGGGAGGATTAATAAAGCACGTTCCTTCTGTTGGGCCTCCAGTGCAGGGAGCGTGTTGGCCGAGCAGTGGCTGAGAAAACCTTTTTCCCCTGGTGTTTTCAAGAACCCTCTTTATTAGCTAAATGGTGAGACATGCCACCTGGTGGTTATAGCACTATCATTTTTTTTCACTGTTCTTGGTGCTTTTTTTCTTCTTCTGATTCCAGTTATACTAGGATAACTAGTATAAACCTAGAGTGTTTCACACCATATTATTTCAGTAAGTTCAAAAACAGCAGAGATGACTAAGCTGTTTGGCACAAAGATTCCTATTTGGAGGGAATCAGACAAAGTGGGTGTTGAGAAAGAACAGGCAGGCAGAAAGCTTTGCATCAGTCTTAAAGCTATTTACATTTCAGGTAAGAGGAACTGTGAAGTCCATGAGACATGTGGGGTTTTTCTGTTACTTTCTCCCCAGTACCTACTACAAAGATCAGCACATAGTAGGTACTCAGTAACTATTTAGAATGAGTGCGTGAATGAATGAAGTATGTGTGATGTTATGGAGTACAAAGTTAGAATTAGCAACATGACCTGAATTTAGAAGCAGGTGGAATACTTACACTTTTCTCAATCTGTGGGGACTACACCATTGAAGTATATGTCTAAGATCTTCCTAAATTTATAGTCATAAATCTGTTACTATAAATTTAGGAAGATTAATTTATATTTGGTTGTTTGATTTCCAAAACTTGCTGCCTGTTAAAAAGAAATTAAGACCTGTCAACTTAAAGAATACATTTTGTGAGTTAAGAACTAAGTGACAGTATAATTTATTACCCGAAATAGTTTGCTTCTGAAAATTAAAGAGTTCAAGCTGTTAATAATTATGCCATGACTGCAGGCATAAACTGGGAATGTCCCGGCAAATGAGGATATATTGTCACCCTTCTCATAGCCTGACTGTGTGTTGTTTTTAAGCTTCACTCTAGTTTATATATTTTAAATGTCATAAAATGCCACATACTTACAAGAGAAAAGGTCCTATTCATTGCTGAAGTGGAAGTTTATCATTAATTTTTAATATATTCTATTACTTTATTTTCTAATTCTAGAAGCAACATTCTGAGCTATATCTTTCTAGAATGTTGAGGCAAAAGAGTAAATTTATAGTGATTTTCACCGTTACCAGATTGCTGGAATAGGGAATTTCTGGTAGCAAGATGGGTCTAACACATCATACAGCCCTCTCCATCTCATTTTTTTTTTTTTTTTTTTTTTTTGCTGAAAGAGCAGCCCTTGCAAATGTCAGTTGCAAATCGGGGAGTAGTACTCATGTCTCTGAAGTTCTTATATAGAATTCTTTTTTTTTATTTTAATGACAATATTTGTAAAAGTTGAAACTTTTTGAGCACTTACTATATTTGATGCATTACAGCACTTTGCATGTTTTATCTCACTTGATATTCATAACTTTATGAGATGGCACTGTTATTGTAGCCATTTTATAGATGAGGAAACTGAAGCTTAGAGAGTTAAATAAAGAGCTCAAAAATCTCACATCTAGTAAGTGGCAAAAACAGGATTTCAACTCAAACAATCTGATTCCAAAACAGATTTTTTCCACTGTGGTGCCATTCTTTTGCCTGGTTTTTCTGTTAACTTCTTAAAGATATGTCATGTTTCATGCTTACTTCCTCATTTTCATAAATATATTACCTGCCCACTTATACATTATATTGCTTAGAAACAAACCCAACCCTCTTTTCTTATGGACTGTATCCTGAAAATCACTGTTTTTAATATGCAATTAAACAAGTATTTTATTAGTGCATTTATATAAATTATTTGACCAAAACACTTAAACTGGTGAAAGTGCTTTACTATGAGAGTGAGAATGTGCATGTTCTAAGAACCTCTAATTTTTAAACTTCCCTTAGTTTCAGTCTTATATTTGTTAAAACCTGTGTGTTAACACGGATACACCCATGTTGGGGTTGATTAGAGAAACCAACCTCTTCATAGATTAGCTTGTTCCTCTTTAAGTTGCTAGGCAGGCACTGTAAATTCAGAGAACAATCTGATTTTAAGCCACAAACCAATGAAATTAATTTTGGGGTTGCCTTTTCAAATAGTGTCACAAAATTTAAGGATAAAGAATGCAAAAATGATGCTAATTACCTTGTCACATTCGTTTTGATTTAATTGTTTTAATTTGAAAAAACCTACTCTCAAACTTAATTGATTTTTTTTTTAATGTGAGTTTGGAGATTGAGTTTTTAATTCAGTAAAGTTATAGTGATTGAAAAAGTAATTTATAATTTTTAATAAAGTGATCTTGTTTTAATTTTGAGTCATATTCTAGAATTGCTTCTTTGCAAATTGGTAAATTGCACATACATTTCCACTTATATACAAGATAATTGTGATAGTTGGTTTGTAAAATAGATGCAGTGCATCTGAAGAGCTATTTTATGAGAATATTGTTTCCTGTATCTGTCATGAGCCAAAAAGAATATTTTTAAGAAAGTTATATTCTTGGTGATAGAATAGCTGATAATTTAGAAACAGTTGTAAGACAGTCCACTTTTTCTGATTATGAAACAATACCATAGTTACATGTAATTTCCTATAATAGGATAAAAATATGAGATCTAGTTTTGGGGGATTTCTGGAAGATGACATATTCGTGTTTTTTCCTGATAACTGCTGAGTCTCCTGCTCTGTCTGCTAATCCAGTCAAGAAGTCTTTGCTAGCAATCAATTAATCATACATGTTTCATTTATACATATTTCCTATATATAGTATGTTATTGATTATCTCAGTACCACTGAAGAGAGGTTATCTGGGTCGTTGGAGCTTTGCTTCTAGATTTGTGAAGATATAAACTTATATATTTAAAATAGGAGGCCAAAAAAAAAAAGACCATTGCTTTATGTAGTTAGATTTTCAGTGAGAGTTTATAATTTGTAATTGTCCATTAATGAAATATAAGGCATAATTTACTTCCTGCTTATATCAGCACCATTTCAAATGTAATAAATGTTAAAAAATAATAAATGGAGAAGTAGATAGCTGATAGGTAGGCTTAATTTAATAAGACAAGGTAAATTGCATTTGGAAACCTCATGGATTTAATGTTTTATTTAAATGATTTCTGATTTTTAAAAAGTAAATATTGTATCCAGAAGCCTGAGAAACAAGTTAGTAGGGAGATTTTTTTCTTTACAAAAAATTTTACAGTTGCGTCTTTGACATTGTACTTCTGACTGTTGTCCTACCAGTCTCTTTGTAAGAAAGCAATACACATGTCGGGAATGAGTGGGCTCTTTCCTTTTTAAAATAACAGTTTTACATCATTCAGGTTCCAATTGTTGCACTTACTGCCACTGCAACTTCTTCAATCCGGGAAGACATTGTACGTTGCTTAAATCTGAGAAATCCTCAGATCATCTGTACTGGTTTTGATCGACCAAACCTGTATTTAGAAGTTAGGCGAAAAACAGGGAATATCCTTCAGGATCTGCATCCATTTCTTGTCAAAACAACAAGGTAAGGATTTAATGGTTGATGAATTTTGGTAATGATTTCCTTTTTTTTTTTTTTTTTAAACAAGTTATGTATTTTACAGTTTTCTTCTAATGCATATTTAACGTATTTCAAATTCCACCTAGTTTTGGTTCAAGTCAAGCATGATGTTATATAATCAACTCAGTGGTTGAGAATAGTCTATTTTTAAAAGCAGAAACTAATTCTTCTAATATCTTAATACCCCATTCTGTTGCTTAAACAGGGCGAATACTGTTTATTTTTGTTTTTAAAATTTTTATTTATTTATTTATAGAGACAGGGTCTCACTGTCGTCCAGGCTGGAGTGCAGTGGTGTGATCACAACCCACTGCAGCCTCAAACTCCTGGGTTCAAGCAGTCCTCCTGCCTCAATCTCCCAAGTAGCTGGAACTACAGGCTCGCACCACCATGCCTGGCTAGGACATATACTCTTAATGATTGACAAGTAAACAAGCAAACATAAAATGACTCTTTCATCTGAATTCTGCCTAGTTTACTAATTACATGACTTCAGTCTTAAGGAGCTTGGAAAAGGTTATCTTACAAACACATTGGAGCCTGTATTGTGTTCCAAGGACTATTGTAGGCGCTTTATATAAATGATCTAATTTAATCCCTATAACTGCTCATCAGTAAGTTACCTATTATTTTCATTTTACTGATGAGGAAACTGACATTAGTACTTTTTTTCTGTTTATTTTGTTTAAAGGCATTTTAAATATGTATGTTAAGAAATTTTCAAAAGCCTTTATTTTACTTTTTATGAGCCTTTATTTACTATTTGAGACAGCGTCTTTCTCTGTCACTCAGGTTGAATGCAGTGGCGCGATCCCGACTCACTACAACCTCCACCTCCTGGGTTCAAGCTATTCTCCTGCCTCAGTCTCCCAAGTAGCTGAAATTGCAGGTGTGCGCCACCATGCCAGGCTAATTTTTGTGTTTTTTAGTGGAGACGGGGTTTCACCATGGTGTCCAGGCTGATCTCGAACTCCTGACCTCAAGTGATCCACCTGTGTTGGCCTCCCAAAGTGCTGGAATTACAGTTGTTGGTTACTGCACCCAGCCAGTTTATAATTTTAAACATTAAAATAAATGCTTCTTGTCCAGTCATGGTGTGTCACACCCATAATCCCAGCACTTTGGAAGGCAGACATGGGAGGATCACTTGAGACCAGGAGTTTGAGACCAGCCTGGGCAACATGGTGAATCCCTGTCTCTACAAAAAATATGAAAATTAGCTGGGCATGGTGGTATATGCCTGTAGTCCCAGCTATTTGGGAGGCTGAGGTGGGAGGACCATTTGAGCCCAGGATGTTGGGGCTGCAGTGAGCTGAGATCACATCACTGTACTCCAGGCTGGGTGACAGAGCAAGACCCCATCTCAAAAAAAAAAAAAAAAAAGAAAAACTTCTTCTACCAATACAAACACAAAACAAGCATAGACAAATAGAGTTTAAAGAACATCATGGGTGTTTTCCTGTAAAGGGAAGATAGATGCTAGGCTAAGAAAATCCTGGAGTTATTCTTGAGGACCTTAAGGAATAATTTAAATGTAGGATTTGCTCCTGGCTTTCTCGTCCTGTATTCAAAATAAAACAAGAATGGATTGAATATATTCTGAGTGTTCTGGCTGTTCTAGTGCTCTCTGAAGTGAGTCCTCATTATGTTTCACTTCCCTTTCATCCTAAAGAGGAAAAGTTCTTTTGAAGAAGGCTATTTGTCCTAGGTTAGTCTCCACAGTCAGATCATTATCTCCTCCTAATCTTCGATCCTGTTCAGTCTCTATGGCACTTTCCCTTATAATAACACTCTCCTTTTTAAAGCGATTTACCTTTTTTTGTGTATAATATTGTTCTCCTGTTTTTCTGGCATCGTGGTCCTCTTATAATATCCTATGCAAATGTTTCTTTCTCACTGGTTTTCATGTTGACTCTGCTAATTGAGGTCTTTGTTACTCTTTAGCCCAGACTATTATAATTTCTCCAAAGATATCCCCTCTCCCTGGTGCTCCTTGTTGCTTTCAATGCACAGTTTACAAATTATTGTCTGCGTACAAATTGTTGACTGCGAACACATCCTTCAGTCTGGAATACCTTTCTGGACTTCTTTACTAGGAAATAAAGAGCAGACTCAGTGTAACATTCAACACTATCAAAGATCTTGATATTTAGTATGAAATTTTTTTTTGAAGCAGATCAAGAAAGATTTTTATACCCATTTTTAATCCTCCAAGAAGACTTAGGACAGCCGGAAACCATTGAGAGTCAGAACACTTTCTACAGATCTTAGGTGCACAGAAACTTTCCTTTTAATGAGCAGTGAGATAGAGGGTAATTAACGCTTCAGAACATTGTCTGTTATTTCCATCTTCTTCCCTTACTTTAACTCTGCCAAATTCCTGTAATTTGTTTATCAGTGTTCATGTTTTTTTAATCCATTGAGCTAAGGTGTTTCTTAACCCTATTTTGTTAAAATCTTAATTATAATATATTCATAATACATTTAAGTGAGATAGATGAATCTCTCATATAATTTAGTGGTTAGATTAGATTAGAATTTTCTCCCCTCAGAAAATTAAGAGGAAATAACAGTCTTTAGCCAAATCACTTGGCAAAGTAATGACTCCTTTTGTAATAGGAATTTTTACTCTTTTGATTTATCTGTTACATAAGTTCAAATTTTTACATATTTTCCACCTTTTTTAAAAAAGAGTGGTATATAGTCAATATCAATTTGAACAACACTTGCATATAAACTGAAAAGGACTCCAATTTTCCAATTCCATTCCTCAGTTGTGATCACTGTTGGTATTTTGGCATTTAGTTATGTAGACTTCCTTTCTCTGACTCTCCTGCTGTGCATATATACAGTTGTAGTTTTTTTGTTGTTAAGTTGATACAGAAATAGTTGCATACTATATCCATTATTTCTGCAATTTTTTTTCATTTAAAGTATCTTTGCTCTCTTTACTATATTTCAATATATTGCCTTTTCTTAAATTAAAGTCTTAATATATAGGATATTATAATATCTAGGTTTTGGTGAGTAGTTTTTTCTTCTTTGAAAACAGGTTTGTAAAATAAGATTTTTTTTTTTTTTTTTTTTTTGACATGGAGTCTTGCTCTGTTGCCCAGGCTGGAATGCAGTGGCGGGAACTTGGCTCACTGCAGCCTCTGCCTCCTGGGTTCCAGCAATTCTCCTGCCTCAACCTCCTGGGTAGCTGGGATTACAGGCGCATGACACCATGCCCTGCTAATTTTTGTATTTTTAGTAGAGACAGGGTTTCACCATGTTGGCCAGGCTCTTCTGGAACTTCTGAGCTCAGGTGATTCACCCGCCTTGGCATCCCAAAGTGCTGGGATTACAGGTGTGAGCCACTGTGCCCGGCCTTAAAATAAGATTTTTATACACTAAAAAAAAACTTGTATTTTTTCACTCCATTAAGTAGTTTACTGTGAATTTTTGATATTGAAGCCCATTCAGTTGCTGTCAAAAATAGATTTGAGCAGTTTATTCAGTATGACTCTTGTAGTGAAATTATTGCCGTTTTTCCTCTGCTTAAGTTTTCAGTGGCTTTTGCCATAGTCCTTAAAGGTTTTACAATTTTTTTAATGTTTAATTTTTAAATGTTTGCTTAATATTTCATCGTATGAATATAGATAATGATGAACATTTAGATTACTTTTTACTATTATAGTGTTGCAGTAAATATTTGTTTACATTTATCTTTTGGCCAATAAGCAAATATTTTTGTAAATTAGAATCCTAAAATTGAAATTGGATCAAAAGTTATATGCAATTGAAATTAAGTAACTTTTCCTAAATCTAAAATACTATAGTCTTTTTTATATTGTCAGCATAAATGAATGCAGCTATGTAAATGAATATTTTTAGGCATTAAGTAAAATGTTCCATGGAAATTGAACTTTTAAGTTGTTTATACTTCTATGGAAATTGTTTACACTTTTATTAAAGAAGCACAAGCTTCTACAAAATACATTCTAATAGATGTTTTCTATAACATTCAGTCTCAAGATTACTAGTAAATACTTCTTTGAACTGTAAATGCAATCTTTCAATATTATAAGAAAACTCTTGCTTTAGTAAACATTTAGAAACTCAACTTTATTATCATAAGAGAGAATAAGAACATTGTAACAAGTTTTATGCATACTCCTTTGTAAACTCTCACCAAACTAATTGTTAATCTGGTGCCTTGCATTCCCCAAAGTATTTGTGTCTGTTGTTTAAAAGTTTTTATCAAGGTTTCAGCTAAAACAAATAAATTTGCTTCTGGTTTTAGCTTTAATTTGAACTGAAACTGTCAAAACGTGAGTTTTGGGGACTTCACGCTGTTCATTTGGACATTTGATTCTCTATAGTGTTTTAAATTTTCATGCACTTAAATATATAATTATTTTTGATAGGCTTTCTTCGTTTAGTCTTTTCTTTAGAAAGTAGAAAAATTAAATAAGATAAAACCCAAACTGGTCTGAAGCATATATACAATATATATGTTTGCTCTTTTGTTCTTCTTTTTCTTTAGTTCCCACTGGGAATTTGAAGGTCCAACAATCATCTACTGTCCTTCTAGAAAAATGACAGAACAAGTTACAGCTGAACTTAGGAAACTGAATCTATCCTGTGAAACATACCATGCGGGCATGAGTTTTAGCAGAAGGAAAGACGTTCATCATAGGTTTGTGAGAGATGAAATTCAGGTATGAGGATCAATCATCATTGCTCTCCATTGTTCATAGTGGAAGTAGATATTTCTCAAATGTTTATTTACCAGATCTTTATTGAATACTTTCTTTGTGTTGAACATAAAGCAGTCCCTCTGATAAGTGTGGGAGAACAAACTTGCAGATTGGTGTAAATAGCAATCTGTACCTGGTGCTTAGGTGCACAGAGGAGGGAGGAATAGCTCTGTCAGGGTAGTTGTGTAATGGGGGTGGTCCATCCAGAAAAAATCAGTTAGAGTCCAAACATGTAAATAGAAGTTTTTTAAGTATGCCAGACCTGTAGGTGATGAGGGGAAAGGAATTGGTTATAGAATTCCAGGAAGAAGGACTAACAGGTGCAAAGACACTTTGATATGAGAACACATACTGGGCTCAGGAAATTGTGACTGGTTTGGAATGGTTGGAGGGAAACAGAATGTGGGCTAGGAATGGCACAAAGAGGCAGAGTGGAACAGTTGGAGACTTGAGAGAACAGTTGAGTGGATTGGTTGGCCAGGTTATAGATGGCCTTAACACTTGCAAAGAAGCAGTCTGGGCTTAGTATCATATACCTGTTAGTTTTCCCTGACTACTTTAGCCTTAGAATTTTTAGTTTAAATACAATGTTATGTAATAGGTAAAACAGATTAAAGTAGAATAACTCTGGCTGAAGTTAATTTGAGGGAAAAGGAGGTCCAAGAGTCTCCAGACCTTGAAGACACTGCCTATTGGGGTCTTATAATCCTTGGAGTGCCGAAGAATCATTTGAAGATTATCATGATGTATTACTCTGTGTTTTTAAACAAGGTAATGGGATTATAGAAACATTAGACTGGCAGCAATAAGTTGGATTGATTTGAAGAAGAGACACTGAAGAAGGGAGAGGGTATCGATGCAGTTATTGTGAAATTCTATAGTTCCTGTCCTGATTGGAGTGGCTCAGTGGGTGTCATAGAGGATTTATTTGGGAGGATTTAAGTTCAAGGCACATGAGTAGGTTTAAGTCAACAACTTGACACGGTCAACATGAAATCCTCACTCTGTCACTGTAAGTCCGGGTAAGAGCCTTCCCCTGAAGTTAAGAATTTAAAGTCAGCTCTCGCATTTTCTGTCCCACTGGTCATCCATTTCCTCTCTATCCATCTCTCTTTCTGATATCTAGTTGTTATCCACCCTCAGCTAATGTTGTTGAAAAGCTTAAGTATGGTTCATATTCACTGTCTCTAAAGTTCACTACACATAGTCATACTGTAATGCATACCAGCCTGAAAGCATCTAGTCTCTCTTTCCCTTCTTTCCAAAAATAGGAATACCATTCACAGCGGTTTAGAATAGAAATTTTATCCAAATTCTTCAGTGTTTATATTTTTGTTCTGTTATTTCAGTGTCTTGAATATTGTCAAATAACATTTATTAGCTGCTATTGCTACTACTGAATCTTAATCAGTCTTCAAGCCATTAACTGACCAATGGTTTCTTCTATCTTAATATATTAGTAATTATTCATTTAAAGTAAAACATCTTCCAGAACTTGAAAGAGTACAATCTTTATTCATGTTACGTTGTGACAGGAGACTTTGTTGGATGCGCCTGATTTTCCTGCCAATACACAGCTTCATTAAAACATTAATGCTTTGAAAAATGGCTTAGGAAACTTCACAGTGATCATTTTCTGGAAGAGTACATGCGTGTATGTGTCATGGTATTCTCCCTTTCTGTGGCAGGATTCCACAAATTTTTATCCACATTACGAAAATTTTAAAATTGATACTGTTTTTTTCTCCGTACGTGGATATCAGATACTCTGTTTTATCTGACAGCTGGCCTAATGTACTCCTACTTGGCCGTTATAAAGAATTCAGGAGCTTCATATTTGCATTGAAAGTTCTCAAACACTTTGTAAAGATGAGGAAAATACGTTTCATCATCTATCTAGAAAGGTCAGGTGTTCCTGCAATTGATTACTTGCTACCGAGAATTGAATACCTACTGAGTGCATCATGTAGAGAATTCTAGATGTTCACTTTGGTGTGTTTTTACAGTTGCTATATACCTTAGTGTGGGTCTAAAAGTGGAGGTGACCCCCATAGCTCTTAATGTCTTAGACTGAGTGATGCTTAGAATCTTAGATTTTCTAATTTTAGAAAAAAGTATACTTTTCTTTCTTATTTTTATAACCAGATACAACCACATTTGCATGCAGATAGACGTTTTTAGTCTTAACCATTCATTTTTACTTTTACTCCTCATTTTATTAGTTTTGTATCTTTTTGTATTTAATTTCCCCTTTCAAGATGCCTTGAGTCCTTTCTTTTTAGGAATGATGTTGTGAATAAATTATTTGATAAAATATCTTTACACCTAAGAGTTTATAAGGATAGTTTGAAAATCATGTCTGTAAAATAGGTGGATCTCACCTAAAAATATTATTATATAATTAAAATTAGAATTATTATTTTGTTGCGTATTGACCCTTAAATGTAGCAAAATTGCCGAATCTCATACAGCCAGAGCTTTTACTTAGTATGATACTCATTTCTATATTTACTTTTTTCTCATGTTTGTCATACTTTCTTTTACTTATTCAGCATTTCCTCCTTTCCTCCCTCCTTTCTTTTCTTCTTTCCTTCTTTTTTCTTCCTTTCGTATTCCTGGTCCATCTTAGCATGTAATCTTTCTTTATGAAATGGCATGCAAATAGGTCTACTGTGCTTACAGTGAAAAGCTTCAAGGCCTCATGTCTTTCCCACTTCTATTTCCAACTCCCAACCTTTTTAGCTGATTCTTTTGGTACTTTACCACTATATCGTGCCACAGTTTACATACATGGCTCCTATTTAATTTTTTGTTTATTTGTGTGTTAGTTGTAGGCATTATCTATTGACTCCTCTCTCTGAAAGATGAAAGGTTAGCTCTCTTTCACATTCTTTACTGCCCTTTTTTCTTACCTTGTCCATGTATTTCTAACCCCCTTTCCTCCTAATGTGTTTATGTCATGATTTTGGCTAGATCAGTGTATACGGTTTACATAATTATTACTCTGTAAATGCTTTTTATAATCTCTGAGCCATGTAGTATATTATGGCTATTTTTTTCTTATCTATTTGTATTTTTATTGTTAATACCTAAGAAAAAAATTTTCTATGTCTTCTCACTAATTCTTCCCTAAAATTTCCCACAAAGGTGTAAACTTACCTCAGTATATTCGTAGATATGAGACATTCTATCAGTTTTACCCTCTTAAAGATGCAGAGATAATGCATCATGTTTCATCCCACCATCTTTAATGAGAAACTTCCATCTTAGATTAATATTAGAGAATGTTAAGATGCTCTGCAATCACGTAAGGACACTTGCAACTTCATTATAATGCAAAAGTTTTCTTTAATACAATAAATATTTTGAGGCTCTTTTGTGTCTTGTGTTCATAGAAGTTCAGATAAACCACTTTATTTACTATTTTTTATAGAGAGTGAACAGAAACCTCATTTCTAGTCACCAGTCCTTAATCTGTAAATCAGGCAGGTAGATAATCTATAAATGATGGTCGAAATCACATTAAATTCCATTTTGTGCCAGAGACTTAAGTTAATGAACAAATTACTCTTACAAAAAGGTATAAATGTAAGGTTTTCATTCCACTAAATATGTTTGTCAAACTGTGTTGTGATTTATTCTCAGTGTGTCATAGCTACCATAGCTTTTGGAATGGGCATTAATAAAGCTGACATCCGCCAAGTCATTCATTACGGTGCTCCTAAGGAAATGGAATCATATTATCAGGAGATTGGTAGAGCTGGTCGTGATGGACTTCAAAGTTCTTGTCACATCCTCTGGGCTCCTGCAGACATTAACTTAAATAGGTAAAAAAGCATTTATTGTTTTTACTCTTGCAGATTTCTTTCTTTCCATATAAACCTTGAAGGTGTTTCAGGCTACTTCCAGTATTCCAAGTAATTTGTGAGCCCATTTAAAGTAAAAAAAAAAAAAAAGAAAAAAATAAACCTGCCCAAATCCAGAGGACATGTAGGAAGAACATTTGTGGTAAGAGTTGCCACTTGGAGGAGATGAGCTAATTTCAGCATGCCTTAGTGTGAGGAATTAACTAAATCAGGACAATACTTGGGCCTGTAACAGAGATCCTATGGAATACTTTCCTACCATTGTGCATTAATGAACAAGTTCTTTTCTCCTTCTCAGATCCTGCCAAGTTGCCATGTCTTCAGCCATAGTTACTCAGCTACCACTGATTTTGTTACTGATTTTTTCTTCCCATGCTTCAGTGGTGATTATTCCAGAGGACTTCTCTCAATCCCTATTTGACTCTTGTTACTATTTGTTTCCTTGGTTAGTTCCGTGAGACCATAACAGTTCTCCTTGAGTGTGTGTGAATCATTGTGTTGCACTGTACTGATAGACTGCCATAAATCAATATTAAGTGTTCAATATCTAAGTACAAGAGAACCATGCTACTTAAGTACTCAACAAGTAGTTTGTTGGCACTTAAGTTCTATGACATTTTTATTGTAAAGGAAAACATTATCTTGCAAAGATTTCTGGGCAGCATTTACCAACTTTGTTCCTTCATCCATAGGAAAAAGAATCTCAGGAGAAAAACCTATACATGGTAACCAATGGGGCTGCCAAGCTGATGAAGTATTTTCAGAGTACACCTTTATGTAGCTGAATACATTGAGATCTTGAATGGACATATTAGCTCATTTTAGTAAAATGATCAGAGAGTGCCTCCCAGTACAGTTTTTGTTTTTATGCATTATTAAACAATGTGTTTTTGAGTGTCCACTGTGTTCCATGAACTATGCTATGTGTGGGAGATATAATAGTAAAGAAAAGCAAAGTACCTGCTTCCACAGAATTCAGTATAATGGGAATGGTAGTTCTTTAGAGAATCACATAACTATGGATACATAGGCTTCATTTTACTGTTCTCCTTTTGTGTTTGAAAATGTCAACAATCAAAAGTTTTTAAAAAAGGAATCATGCAACATATTTAAAATTATAATTGTGTTAAGTGTTATGAAGGGAAATTGTATTGAGTAGTAAGAATATATAATGTTGTGTGGTATTTCCCAAGTTAAAAAGTTCAGGTAAGGCTTCCTTGTGGAAGTGATGGTTCAGATCTGAAAGAAGAATAGGAATTAATTAGGTAAAAATGTTTGATGCAAATTTTAAGGTTTTCCTTCTGAGTAGTCAGTAGCTTTTCCTTAATATAGAAGATGACAAAACCATCCTTTTTTTGTACAGAACAATTCTTGTTTTCCTTTAGACAGTTGTATCTGTCAAGCTTCTTATGAACTAATTTAAATAATTGGGATAGAACACAGCTGTACATGTTACAATTAAATATGGAATATATCAAACATAAGTTGATTCCTACCAGTTCTGATTTTATTTGTGTATTTTGTTAAAGGTACTGAGGACATTAATATCCAGTTTTATATTGTGCATTTGAAGGTTCATCAATAAATGCAATTCTTGTTTCTCTGGGTCTTAAAAGATATTTTAAATGGTTATGTCATTAAGATTTAACAGGAAGTAACAGTGATTCAAATCAAATAGTGGTGCCAGAAACCCAGACTTGAATTTTGAGTACAGACAGGTTACCCTTTGCATCAGTCCTGAGGAAACTAAAACTACAGGATTAATCAGGATAAGAAAGAATTGAGCAAGGATTCAGGAGGGCTCTGTATCATCCTGGTGACAACTCTTCTAGAAAAAACTAGAAAGTCTAAGAATAAATGAAGTTGCTTGTTCTCACCTGGAAAGGTCGGTTACTCAGAAAATTTTTAGAGTCTATCTTATGCCATAATTCTTATCACTGAGAGAAGAAACTTGTCCAGTCATCATGTAATCTTCATGTAAATTTATATTTTTAATTGCAGAATTCATACCACAGGCAAAGTCCCAATGTCTGCATTTGTTGTTACCTTAAATAGTCAAACCCCAAAGTTATTGTAATCTTTTTTTAAGAGAGAATAATTTGCAAAATAATCTCGGTCCAATAGATCTTTCACTGGATCCAAATGATTTCCATGAATGATTTAGAATTTTTCTTATTTTCAAAATGTTTTTTTCTGTGGAATACCAGACTTATTTTTGTAGTCCCAAAAGAAGAATACGTATTTATTTATTTTTTTGTTTTAAGAGTTATAGTTTTGTTTTCTCAAATTTGTCCTGACACTGATGAGATTAGTTAAATGTAGGTCATCTGAACCAAATACAGGGAAGGATCCAGTTCTGAGAGTGTGGGCGTTTGTTTTCTTGTTTTTTTTCTATAGGAGGGAAACGAGGTGAACAAAACAAATAAAATAAAGCAAAAAAGAACTGATTTTTATTCCTTGAGGTAGAAAGAATGAGATTACAGTGGGCCCCCTTATCTGCATTTTCACTTTCTGTAGTTTTAGTTACACCCACGTCCAAAATGTTAAATAGAAAATTCCAGAAATAATTAAATCAGTTTAATTATTTCTTTTAAAGTTTTAAATCAGTGGTGGTTTTGAGTAGTGTAATGAAATTTTGTGCCGTCTTACTCAATCAGCTTCGACTCCCTTAGAATCATCCCTTTGTCCGGTGCATTCACGTTGTATTTACTCCCTGTCTGTTAGTCACTTGTTGCAGTATTGCAGTGTTTGTGTTCAAGTAACGCTTATTTTACTTAAGAATGGCCCCAAAGCACAAGAGTACTGTGCTTAATTTATAAATTAAACTCTTTCATAGGTATATACATACAGGAAAAAACATAATACATACAGGATTTGGTACTATTCTGTGGCTTCAGGCATCCACTGGAGGTCTTGGAATGTATCCCTTGTGAATAAGGAGGAACTGTATATAGTTAACCTAGGAGCTAGAGTCAACAGTTGGAAGAGACTTTGGGGATAATTACATGGAAGGGCATGGTGGCTGGTGGTTTCAGATGACAAGAATGTTTTTGAATAACGGATCATTTGTGTCTTCAGACTTTCCAGAACTCCTTGAGAATTATACAGAGGTATTTAATCAATCAGAAGGTTGAATAGTCAAATTATCAGTGAGCGAAGTTTATTTTGATGGGGATTTTACTAATGCTGTCCCTTAGATATTACAAGTAAATCATTGCTTTCTTTTGAAATATCTGAAACCTAGTTAACATGGACTTTTTTCTTGCAAAGATATGCAAAGCTGTTTGGGAGATTGTTGTCATCTGATACTTGCTATTCATGGGCTCTCTTCACAGAAGACTAGAAATTAACAGAGTCACGATGAATTATGGCAGCATTGACTTTAAAAAACACAAACACCTCTTTAATGTTATTTAACAATTTTGAATAAATTTGATATGGCAAACAAATCAGTTATAATTGATTGAGAAAGGAACTTAATTCTAATACTTTACTGGTGTCCCGTAATAACCCATAATACTAAGAGACAGTTTTGGAGGGCAAGAAGTCCTGAAGAGCTGATAGAGATAAAGGTCAAATTTGAGCTTCTTTCAGTATTCCTTACATCAGTGCTTTTAGTTTCTCATACAAAATAAATTAAAATAAAGAATTACCTTTTTACTGGGAAAAGGTAAAAATTAATAAATTGTAGAAGCCTTATTTGAATCCAAAAAGTGTATGACATGTAAATTGAAATGAAAAACCTTAGAGTTTATGATACTTTTTCAAAGCAGCTAAAGAATTGATACTTGGACACAGGAAGTTTTTCAAAAACAATTTTTATAACATCAGAAAAATGTTTACCTCTTGTTGGGGGCATTGACTGGAAAGGAATATAACAGAACTTTCTGAGATGCTAGAAATGTTTTTTATCTTGATGGGGTGTGGGTTTTGTAGGTAATGAAAAATAAATAGTAATAAATAAGTAAATAAAAAGTAGGAAAGTTGCCAATACAGTTTTACATATTCCTGTGATGTTTTTAATCAACAGGCATCTCCTTACTGAGATACGTAATGAGAAGTTTCGATTATACAAATTAAAGATGATGGCAAAGATGGAAAAATATCTTCATTCTAGCAGATGTAGGAGACAGTATGTATTATTTATTTTATGCCAATAACATGGATTTATGGATGATGCTCTTTTAAGAAAACAATTTGGCTAAATAGTTGTCCGTATTTTGAAAAAATATTTTGTTGCTGTTATATGCATGCTGAATTTTTAAGGCTAACTTCTTTGTGTCTGAATAAACTGAAGTCAAATAATGAGGTCCCAAGTGAATCAATTAATGATGATTTTACCTCATTATTTTCAGGAATGAACTTAACATATATGTTTCTGTTCTTTTTTTTAATTTAAAATTTTGTCTTGCGTAGAATCATCTTGTCTCATTTTGAGGACAAACAAGTACAAAAAGCCTCCTTGGGAATTACGGGAACTGAAAAATGCTGTGATAATTGCAGGTCCAGGTAAAGATTTCTTATTATAGATGGACATTCTAAAAGTCTTTGTTTCTCTTCCTTTTCATATTTAATTGAATTTTTGTTGAATGATAAGTATTTCAGTTTTTTAAACAAAACAAGGAATATATTTAGATACAAGAGAAAGCAAACAATATTAAAGTACTTTGCTTCAAAAATAGATAAAGCAATAAAATGGTAGGCCTACATCGAAACATATCAATAGTTATATTAAATGTAAATGACCTAAAGTATTATTTAAAGGCGTACGTTGTAAGAATTGGTTTAAAAACATGACCCTGTTCTATATGTTGTCCACAAGAAATCCACTATAATTATATAGATAAGTTTAAAAAAGAATGAAACATTACATTCCATGAAAACATTAATCAAAAGGAAGCTGGAGTTGTTACTTTAATATCAGACAATGGAGACTTTGGAGCAAAGAATATTATCAGGATAAAGAAGGATACTATATGATGTAAACGAATCATTTCACCAATGTATCAGTCAGGGTTCACCAGAGAAACAGGACCATTGATATCATATATATACATATATATACACACACACACACATATATATATGCTATATATGCGGGGGAGAGGAAGAACAAATGTAGGGAGAGAGGGATGAAGGGACTGATTTTGAAGAATTAGCTCATGAAATTGTGGGAGTTGGCAAGTCTGAAATTTGTAGAGCAGGTCAATAGGCTGGAAACTCAGGCAAGAGGTGATGTTGCAGTCTTGAGGCAGAATTTCTTCTCTAGCAAACCTAGTTTTTACCCTTTATTCCTGCCACTGAGTGGATGAGGCCCACCCACATTATTGACAGTAATCTATGCTTAAAGTCAACTGATTGTGAATGCTAATCACGTCTACAAAGTATTTTACAGCAATATCTAGATTAGTGTTTGACCAAACAACTGAGCATCATAGGCTAGCCAAGTTCATGCATAATATTAATCATCACGACCAAGAGGACGTCATCCTAAATATATATATATATACACACACACACATATGTAGATGTAGATATATATATATATATATATATCTACTTAACAAAAAGACTGACAGAACCAAAAGGAGAAATAGAGAAACCTACAGTTAAATTTGGTGACTTCCAACATCTCTCAGTAATCAATAAAACTAACAGACCAAAAAATCAGTAAGAAGATAGAAGCAATGAACAGGACTATCAACATGCTGGATCTCATTGACTTTTATAGAACATTCTACCCAACAACAGTAGAGTACGCATTCTTTTCAAGTGCAGATGCAATATTCATGAAAAGGGATCATATTCAGAGTCATAAACCTTAACAAATTTAAGAATCTTGTATTTGTATATTTTTTCACTAGAATGGAATTAAACTAGAAAGCAATAACAGAAAAATAACAAAAAAGTCTCTAAACCTTAGAAATTAAATAACACACTTCTAAATAAATGCATGAGTCAAAAAGGAAGTCTCAAGGCAAATCAGAAAATGTTTTGAACTGAATGAAATGAAAATACAAAATGTGTGAGATACAGCTAATGCAATACTGAGAAGGAAATTTATAGTATTAAATATCTATGTTATAAAAGAAGAAAGGTCTTAAATCAATACCTAAGCTTCCATCTTAAGCAACAAGCAAATAAGAGCAAAATAAATTAAAAGGAAGCAAACAGAAGGAAATAATAAAGAACATAAGTCAATGAATAGAAAAGCTATGGTCATACCACTGTTCTCCAGCCTGGGTGACAGAGTGAGACCCTGTGTCAAAAAAAAAATAAAAATAAAAACAAACCAAGCAGCATGCAGCATTCATTGTCAATGAATAGAAAATGGAAAAACAATAGAGAAAAATCAAAGAACTCAAAAGCTCATTCTATGTGAAGATCAACAAAAATGATATGAACTTCTAACAAGACTGACAGAAAGAGAAGAGACACAGAAGACCAAGACCAGGAATGAAAGAGGGAATTTCACTACAGACCCCCCAGGTATTACCAGGGATGATAAGGGAACACTGAAAAACTCAGAACATGACTTTAATAATCTAGACGAAATGGATCAATTTTTTGATAATCTCAAGCTAATTAAACTTACACTGAATTAGATAACCTACATAGCGTTACAACCATTACAGGGATTGAATTCTATGTTAAAAATCTCTGAAAATAAAATTCCCTAGCCCAAAGAGTTTCAATGACAAATTCTACCAAACATTCAGAAGACAAAATAATACCAATTCTATAGCACAATTCCATTTATATAGTACTCTTTGAGACATAAAACTATACTAGAGGGATGAAGAAAAGATCAGTGGTTATCAGAGATTAGGGGGAGGGAGAAGGTATGATTCCAAAGGATAGTACAAGGCAGTATTTTGGAGTGATAGATTTGTCGTGCCCTGATTGTGATGGGAGTTAGATGAATCTATGGATGTCTTAAAATTTGTAGAACTTTACACATACATACAACCAATTTGCCTATGTTAATTGAAAAAATAAAATAAAAACAAATTATTTATCTAGTTGGGTTAGCTACATACATAAGTTCAATAGCTGTATTACTGTAAGACAAAAGAAGCATTATTAGGGATGGAGTTGTTCTCTGTGTAATGGCAAATAGTTCCTTCACTAAGAAGACAGAATTGTTCTATGCACCTTTGAAAAACACACACACACAACCAACGAACAGTAACTTGCCTGGTGCAGTGACTCACACTTGTAGTATCAGTACTTTGGGAGGCTGAGGTGGGAGGATCCCTTGAGACCAGGATTTTTGAGACCAGTCTGGGCAAAAAAGCGAGACTGTGTCTCTACAAAAGTAAAAAATAAAATAAAATAAAATTAGCTAGGCATAGTGTCATGTCATGTGCCTCTATTCCCAGCTACTCTGGAGGCTGAGGTAGGAAGATCGCTTGAGCCTGGAAGGTCAAGACTGCAGTTGCCGTGAGCTGTGATGGCACCACTATGCTCCAGGCTGGGCATCAGAGTAAGACTCTGTCTCACATAAAAAAATAAATGAATAATAATTTAAAAAAACTTGTCTGGGTGTGGTGGCTCACACCTGTAGTCCCAGCACTTTGGAAGGCCGAGGCAGGAGGATTGCTGGAACCCAAGACTTTGAGAACAGCCTGGGCAACATAGCAGGACCCCATCTCTATTTTAAAAAAAAACAAAACTTAAAAATCCAGCAAATACATAAAGCACAAAACTGACAGAAGAGGTGGAGAAATCAATAAATCCACCATCAAAGTGGAAGAATTTGATATAATTTTTTGTTATTGTTAGGGTAAACAATCCAAAGATTAGTACACTATAGAAAATTTGGCCAACATAGTAACAAGTTTCATTTATTGGATACGTAGTATATAGAGCCCTAGACCAAGCAACTATAGCAGTGTGTCTCCAGTGTTTTTACTTCATGACCCACATAGCAAATGATATATGTATGTAACACACTGAGCTAATTGTCAGAGTTCAGTTTCTGTCCAAAACCCTAAGATCTGGAGTGATTAACCTTTCAGCATACTTACAACTCACTTGTTTGTAAGCACACTGATTGAGAAGCCTGAAAGACTTCCCTCCTTAAACATACATGGAATTTTTCTAAAAACTTATGTATTGGGCTGGGCGCAGTGGCTCATGCCTATAATCCCAGCACTTTGGGAGGCCGAGGTGGGCGGATCACGAGGTCAGGAGATCGAGACCATCCTGGCTAACACGGTGAAACCCCGTCTCTACTAAAAATGCAAAAAATTAGCCAGGCGTGGTGGCGGGTGCCTGTAGTCCCAGCTACTCTGGAGGCTGAGGCAGGAGAATAGCTTGAACCCGGGAGGCAGAGGTTGCAGTGAGTGAGTGGGCCACTGCACTCCAGCCTGGAAACAGAGCGACACTCTGTCTCAAAAAAAAGGAAAACAAAAAACAAAACAAAAAAAACTGGTAAAAGGGCCCAGTGGCTCACACCTGTCATTCCAGCTCTTTGGGAGATTGAGGAGAGAGGATCAGTTGAGGCCAGGAGTTCAAGACCAGTCTGGGCAATATAATGAGACCTCATCTCTACAAAATTTTAACAACAACAAAAAATCTGGTAAGAGGCAGCATGAACAGTACTTTGTGGGAGTTTGATAGCTTGAAATACCCATAATTGAAAAGAAAATTTATCAGCTAAGCATCTCACTAAAGAGATTAGAATAGGAGAATAAACCTAAGCGTAGTTTTTTTCCCCAAACATTATTATATCTGGATATTGAATGCATTCTTATTGCTATTTCAAAGATACTTAGGAAAGCAGTTGAATTAGGTAGTTGAACTCTATAGTAGATTTTCTTTAATGAGTCCTTTTGTTCTCAACCTACTTAAATAATTCTCATTTGAATTTATGATAATTTCAGATCTACCCAAAGGGTGACTTAGGAATTTAACTTCTAAATCTACTAAATGAAAGGTTTATAATATTCATGTCATATTTTACAGTCATGAGCGTTTAACAATTTATAGCATAGGATTTGGGTGTTTTTTTTTTTCATTTTAAACAAGAAGTTTATTTAAACAAGACACTTGACTAAGGGAAAACTATCTTGGAGTTATTATTACTAGAGTAATTTATTTCTACTTAAAGACAGATTGCCCCACACGTAACAGCTACATAAAAATGGTTGTAAAATTGTCCTTGGTTTTACAATGATTAATGAAAAACGTTAAAATTCTCCAATTGAACAAGGTGTGCAAAGATTTTTATATTGTTTTTTGCTAAAACTGTGGCAGCAAAATAACATCCTGGAGTATAAAGATAAGAGCTGAATGAGCAGGCCACTAGGGGACAAAGGGAGTCTTTTCACAGAACCAATGCTTCTTTTCCCCACCTCATCTCCATTCGAAGTCAATCTAAACATACTATTATCTATTTAGTTTAAAAAGAAAAAAAGCTAAGCAATGTGTGCTTGTGTACATACACCAGATACTTTATGTGCAATAAAAGGAGGAGGAAGGGGGAAATGAAAGAATAGAGAAAACTCTATGTAGTCAGGATGTGGTGGAACCAAACTGCAACTTTCTTTTTTTTTCCTTTTTTTTTTTTTTTTTAAGAGGGAGTTTTGCTCTTGTCACCCAGGCTGGAGTATAGTAGTGTGATCTTGGCTCACTGCAACCTCCACCTGTCAGGTTTAAGCCATTCTCCTGCCTCAGCCTCCCGAGTAGCTGGGATTACAGGTGCATGCCACCATGCCTGGCTAATTTTTGTATTTTTAGTAGAGGTGGGGTTTCACCACGTTGACCAGGCTGGTCTCAAACGCCTGACCCCAAGTGATCCACCCACCTCAACTTCCCAAAATGCTGGGATTACAGGCGTGAGCCACCACGCCTGGCCAAATTACAGCTTTCTAATTGAGACTGTATTCTTGGTCTGGAAGAGCACAGTTCTGCAGTAAAGTAGCCCGTCCGTCCCCCTTTTAGTAGACATCTCCATGTCTGCTGCTGGAACACGTCAGTTTTATCTTAAGCCTCACTTCCAAATGTACAGATGTGTCTGGTTCGTTGATTGGCTACCTGTCAAATTGAAACCTGATCTGCCTCATTGACAAACCCTGTCCCTCACAATAGGCTTTCATTGGTTTACTAAGTGGTGCATGGCTCTTCATCTCAAACTGCACCACAGTGCCATCCTGCTCCACCACCTTCAAATGAACATTATCCTTGTTCTCAGTCTTGACTCTTTCCTTGGGCTTTTTGTGGACAAAAAGCCTGGTGAGTGTGGCAGTCTCCTCAGCTGCTGCTTCACAAAAGAGGTACCAGGTCTGCCCCAAATGAGTGAATCCCTGAATAGCACCAGGAGTGCCAGAAGAGGCAGCAACTGAGATGTGTTTTTTCTAAGCTGAAAGCCTTTTTGTTTGTTTGTTTGCAACAAATCTTTTTTTGCGACACACCTTTAACACTGAAGTCCAATATTTATATAATTGGTCAAGTAAGTGGAGCTGTTCTAGCTATAAATACAGCAACTGTGCTTGCTTGTACTGTTATTAACATTATTCCTTTCTGTGGTCTGAGGTACTTCCCATGAAACTTGGTGTCTAGGGCACTAGGATTGAGAACCATCAATATAACATATCTGTTATGCTATAATAGTTTATTGTTCATATTTTTTATATTTACATACTCGGTTTTAATGAACTCGGGTTATAATGAACTTTATTCGTAGCTTCTGAAGGAGTTGGCGCATTTGAGATATTTTTTACTTGGCTAATTGTTATGCTAAATCTTTTGTTTTCTAAAGATACATGCCTTTGCTAAGCTTTCTTCATATGTTATTATTTTTATTTAGATTGGGTCATTGCTATTCCATGGATGACTCAGAGGATACATCCTGGGACTTTGGTCCACAAGCATTTCAGCTTTTGTCTGCTGTGGATATCTTAGGGGAAAAATTTGGAATTGGGCTTCCAATTTTATTTCTCCGAGGATCTGTAAGTATACCTGTGAATTCCCTTCACAGATCTTCTTTTACTTCTATTACACTTTTCTTCAGAGGTTTGCAGTATTATGATTGTAGCTTTGATTTCAGATGGGTTACTAGGAACTCATAGAATCTTACTAAGTTCCCGTTAAACACTACATTCGTTACTTTGGATAAAACCCGTGTGTGTGGCATCTTCTGCTGTTTTCATGTTCCAAGCCTATGTTCAGCTCTGCAGCTCAGTCTAGAAGCATAGTGTTAGTTTATCACATTGCATTTGTGTGAATCCCTAGACTAGTCTTGGTTAGGATAATTAGGAAAAGTTAACTTTCATTGTGTCAAGGGACAGGTAAAACAAAATTGTCCTTTTGTCCAGAAAACTATTAAATTCTTCAAGGAAAACTTTAGTTACAGGGATTATTTTGTAAATGTCTAATTTCAATAACAATATTTGGGACATATTTATTTTTCCTTCTGTTTCCTATCAGAAGTATTTAAAGTTATAAGAAAATAGTGGTTTTTGCCTTTACTAATGAATAAATAATCAGTTAAATTCGGCTACTTTTTTTTGGAGTGATCGATGTTCCAGTATTCTCCTAAGCAACCACAGGTACAAATGTGAATAAGATAGGACCCTTGCAGTCCAAGAACTTGTTCTGTAGTCCTTTTCTTTATATGATTTTTTCCCCTGATTTAGAAGTATATAAAGCAAAGCTAAGTATTACGCACTGATATTGGCTGAATAAATCAAGAGCGAGAGATAGGATACTTTGCAAATATGCATATATATTAAAATATACTTAAGAGATTAAAATTCTCATTTCTAATGTAGAATAGGTAAGCATTTATTTGTGAAATACTCGAATGCTTCGTGTAAATACTTTCTGAGTTTGTATTTTTAAAAAGGAACATACTTATTAAATTAGTTGTGAAATATTTTTAATGAAATATATTGAAAACTTCTGTTGATTTTTCATGTACTGATGTTTTTAGATTCTAAATGGAGTTTAACATTTTGTTTGTAAATCACAAGTTGGATTAGAAATTTAATAGTAGAAGTGTTGCCTAAGGAACTATTTTAGGTGCTGTGAGTGAAACTGTTATAATAAGAATTTTAGTTGTAAGGGACAGCTTAAATATAATTGAGATCTATGAAAGTGTATTCTGTCTCTATCACCTTTAAAACCTTTGTATCCCAGCTGAATGTATAATTTATAAAAATTATTCTTGTTTTAATTTGCTATAATCCAGTCATATCCAGTATCAACAAATAAGTCTGAGTAGGCTCCTTGACAAACTTGAACTGGCCACAAGAGAGATCAGATTTCACCTATTAAAAAACCGAATCAGACCACTTACACTGACAATCTCTTCTGGGAGTCCTCAAATTAAGAAGTTTATCCTTTGTGAAATATTATAGTACCCTTGCTAGACAAAAGTAAAACTTTTCTAAAAGTACCACTTAATGAAAATCTGCAGACACTAAATGCAATGAAAATAAGGCAATTTTTTTTTCTCCCCATTTCAGTGATCTTGGTATCCTGGGATATTGTTTTTAAAATTATCATTATAATTCCTTTGAGGATTTAGTAAAATGTTCCCTTTAACCAACTTAGGAAAAATTAGTATCTTTGTATGTGATTTTGATCTGTAAAATAAACATTTTAAACTGGGAATAATTGGAGTTTAAAGAGATTAAATATATAACATATAGTAGCAGCATATAATTATCTCTTTTTTTTTTTTTAATTTTTAAATTTTTTTTTTGAGATGGAGTCTTGCTCTGTCGCCCAGGCTGGAGTGCAGTGGCGCCCAGGCTAGAGTGCAGTGGCGCGATCTTGACTCACTGCATGCTCCACCTCCCGGGTTCACGCCATTCTCCTGCCTCAGTCTCCCAAGTAGCTGGGACTACAGGCACCCACCACCATGTCCAGCTAATTTTTTGTATTTTTAGTAGAGATGGGGTTTCACTGTGTTAGCCAGAATGGTCTCAATCTCCTGACTTTGTGACCTGCACACCTCAGCCTCCCAAAGTGCTGGGATTACAGGCATGAGCCACCGTGCCCGGTCGTATAATTCTCTCTTACACAAGATTTTTTCTAAATAGTATAAACAGTTATGTAGCCTATCTAGGAGTTTGTGAGTAGAGTTTAAAATTTTGTTTTTAAGCTGCAAGTTTGATTAGAAATTAAACAGTAAAGGTATTACTTAAGGAACTTTGTTTTAGCTGTCTAAACAACTTACTTATATAAAAATCTTTAAACATTCTGTATAAATATATGATAAGATATACAATGACCTTAATTTTATAGATTAGAAAATAAAACCACACTCATTAATTTGCATAACTGAGAGATTAAGTGAAACTTCTTTTCTGATCACATTAGCAGAATGCCAAATCTTGTCGTGGCACTAGAATTAGACGGTAGTTTTGATGATACATGATTTGACTATAGACATTTGTTGAAACTATTGGTAGTTTTAATCACTCTTGTAATTTTCAAACTATCTAACGGGAGAGGATTATCCATCCTGTTTTCTAGACAAGCTATTTCACCTGAATGAAATATATTCCTAGAGATAATTATCACTATCTTTTGGTTTTATTTTGCACATAGAATTATAGTTCACAATGACTTTCTGAAGCCCTGAAGTTGCAGCTGTGAACTTCTTTGGCCTGTAGTGACTGGGAAAAAGCACCCCCGCCCTGCCCTTCCTGTCCCCCAAAAAAGTTAAAGTGTTTTTAACAATAGCTATGGACTTTTTGTAGTTTAAGAACTTAGGAGTTGCCCAGGGTGGAATGCAGTGGTGTGATCATAGCTTGCTGCAGCCTTGAACTCCTGGGTTCAAGCAGTCCTCCCACCTCAGCCTCCAGAGTAGTTGAGACCACAGGTGCCACCACACCCAGCTGTTTTTTTTATTTTTTAATTTTTTTGTAGGTATGGGGTCTCCCCCTGTTGCCCTGCCTGTTTCAAACTCCTGGGCTCAAGTGATCCCCCTACCCTTGGCCTCCCAAAGCACTGAGAGTCACTGTGCCAGGCTGAGTTTAAAATTTCTTGAGTTGGAGTTTATGGCTATTTTTTCCATTAGTTATTAAACATGTGTTTTTGTAAAAGGCACTGTATTGCATTTTGTGGGGGGATTCAAAGCTAAATTAGATGAGACGCCTCGTCTAGTATGGAAGGTGTTACTTAAGAAGAAATAAGTGTAATGTAGCAGAGAACCAGATAAGGGACATGTGAATAGATATAAATGTTACTGAAGTTCTGAAGAGAGAGGGTGTTTAGAGAAATGAGAGGAGTACTTGTGAAGGTATCACTAGAACTTCCTATTTTTGTGGAATATATGGTAGATTTTGGTGTGATACTGTCTATTTGGACATTCATTCAGAGAAGAAATGAGGGAAGAAGGGTAGAGAAGAATGTGGCATTCACAGTACAGAAAGCAATTGTGACTTTTAAAGAGGTTAATACAGAGAAGTGACAAGTCTTCTTTTCCTCTCCTCTCTCTTTCTTTCCTCCCCTCCCCTCCCCTCCCCTCCCCTCCCCTTTCCTCTCCCTTTTTTCTTCTTTTTTTTCTGTCAGATACTGGTGTAAAGACTTCGCTTTTACCAGAAACTGATATATTGGGTCAGGTACCCTGGCCAGTCAGTTCTCTTTATTCTAACACTCACCGATCAATTAGATTTCCACATTCCATGATATGTCAGTTTTGGTGACCCTTATTTTTCCACCTGGTTTATAAAGGGAAAGAATGAGATATGTCACCCAGGCTCTGGAGTACAGTGGCGTGATCATAGGTCACAGCAGCCTCAAAGTTTCCAGTTCAAGCGATCCTACCTCCTTGGCCTCCCGAGTACGTGGGACTACAGGTGCGTGCCACCATGCCCAGCTAACTTTTTTGTAGAGACAGGGTCTCCCTATGTTTCCCAGGCTGGTCTTGAAACCCTGGCCTCAAGTGATCTGCCCACCTTGGCTTCCCGAGGTATTAGGATTACAGGCGTTAGTCACTGTGCCTGGCCTGAAAATTTCTCTTTTTGAGATGGCATCCCACAGAAGTATACCTGCTTAGAGCTAACACTGGCAAAAAGACTATTTAACCCTATTGCCTGATTTTACTGTAGTTGAGATTGGGTTAAAGTAAAAGCTGAATGACCTGCCCTAGGTCATACTGTTACTTTGTGCCAGAGTCAGGATGAGCAAATGACTTTCCTGCCTGCTAGTCTAGTGTCTTTTCTATTTGTTGTGCTGTAACATGCAGTTTTAAATTTGTATTGTTATGCCCAGTGGGCATGGTGGCTCACACCTGTAATTTCAGCACTTTGGGAAGCCGAGGTGGGAGGATTGCTCGAGACCAGGAGTTCAAGATGAGCCTGGGTAACATAGCGAGACTCTGTCTCTACAAAAAAAATTTAAAAAGCCAGTTGGTGGTGTGTGCATGTAGTCCTCCTTGTGGGAGGTTGAGGTGGGAGGATTGATTGAATCTAGGAATTCAGGACTGCAGTGAGCCATGATTACACCACTGCACTCCAGCCTGGGTGACAGAGCAATACCCTATCTCGAATGAATGAATGATGAATGAGTGAATGCCCAAATCCCTAAGCTGTGTTCTGTATAGCAGCTTTCTCATCGTAGGCAGTTTTTACTCTGTCAGTGGACAACCTACAAAATTAAGTTAACTACAACACTTAAGCAATTAACAGAGGAGGCTTTGTTCAGAGTGAGAAATCATTAAGCATTTGTTGTTGAAAATTCTTACTGTATTATGTTTTAATTGTTATTATTTTTTTAAATGTTACTTGTTTTAGTTTGGATTCCTAGTTGAAAACGGAATATGATTCCTTTAAAACAAAGATACTGTGTTTTAAAGCAAAGGTATATCATCCTTTTCATGGTGATTGCCATGGAAACAAGACAATGTACATTTACTCACATAGTACACAGTTTTCATAGTTATTGATCATGAGGGAAGGGACAGTTAATCCCTGCTGATCAGATAAAACCTCATTGTTTCATCCTAATATATGGGTTTTTAATGCTTAGGAAAGGAAAAGCCAGAAGAGTAATTTTTAGTGTTTAGAGAGCTAGTGATTCTAGTTAGGGAACTTAATACCTTTGGTGTTACTAGTTTGCAAGGAATAGAATCTCCTACTACAGAGGTAACCCCTAGCAGATGTAGAGTACCATTACCAAGTGTTCCAGGGAAGGAAACCCGACTAGATACCAAGTCATGCTTTTTACTCTTAGATTAAGAAATTCAGGTTGAGTTAAAGGATCAGCTGTTAACTAATAAAAAGCAGATTAATATTACTGAGCCAGGCTTTGTCCTGGTTATGGACTTAATCTTCACAGTATCCTCAAGAGATAAAAATGAATATATATGCATATTAGATGAGAAAATAGAAGATAAGTAACTTGCCAGAGCTGTGGCTTGAATGCAGGTGATGTTGCTCAAGAGCCCCCACATGTATGTATATTGGGTGTGGGGGGTGGTACGTGTGGGTGCTTGTGCATGCATGTGGTATAATAAGAAAAAATTAGCTGTTATGCCTGTAATCCCAGCACTTTGGGAGACCAAGGCATGAGGATCTCTCAAGCCCAGGAGTTCAAGACCAGTCTAGGCCACATAGCGAGACCCCATCTCTACAAAAAAAATTTTAAAAATGTTAGCGGGCATTGTGGAATACATCTGTAGTCTCAGCTACTTGGGATGCTGAGGTGGGAGGATCCTTGAGTTCAGGAGATTGAGGCTACGGTGAGCTATGATGACACATCTGCACTCCAGCTTGGGTGACAAAGAGAGACCCTGTCTCAAAAAAAAAAAAATTAGAACTAGTCATCTGGAGGCCTATGTTCTAGTCCTAGCTTTAGTATAGGTACACCGTGAGACATTAGACTGCCATTTAACATCTTTGAACCTCTGATAATTTGTTAACAATATGGGTAAAAATGACTAAGATAGATCAAAGAGCTCCAGCATTCCCTCCAGCTCTGAAATTCTATGATGTTTTATCTTATTTTACTTATAAAAATAAATTATATTATGTGTATTTAAAGTGTACAATATAATGTTACAGGTTACCTATATATAGTAAAATGATTACTATAATGAAACTAACATATCCATCATCTTATATTGTTAACCATTTTTTTGTTTTTGTGGCAAAAGCAGCTGAGATCTACTCATTTAGCAGGAATCCCAAATACAGTACATTTGTATTAACTGTAATTCTCATGTCATACATTCGATCTCTAGACTAGTTTATGCTACGTATGGTTGACTTTTAAACATTCTACTCAAATCAACCCTAAGTCAGGGTTAGCAAGGCAGGGCTTGTTAACAAGGAAGAAGGTGCCAGATTGTACCTGGGTGTTTATATTTCTCTAAATCTTGTTCTGATCATATTTTAATCAATAGAATCATCAGGACACTAAAATTCATTCCTTAACTATAAAAAAAAAATTCATTCCTTAACTATTAAAAAAGTCTATTCTATTTTTATTGTTAAGATTTAGGAGAGCATGGTATAGATTCTCTTAACTATGCCTATCAGAAGCCTATGTTTTAAATCCAATATATAGGCACTGCTCTATTTGTCTTTGTTGAGAGCTTACCCTGCTTTACCTAATTTCATCCTAGCCTCCTTTTTGTGAAAGATCACCCTTATTTAGCCTATTTTTTGGCAAATCTACACCTTAGAAATAGTAGTAAGTGACATAAGCATATTAATATTTATGATGTGATTTATTTTTGTTTTCATTCATATACTTGGGAAGATTCTCAGATATTAAAGCAATGTATGTTTACATTTAAGTATATCGTTCTTGTTCTGTTTTAGAAGGCTTGTATTCGCGTTTTTAACATTCAAAAAGATAAACCTGTAATCATAATGATTTCATCAATTCAGTAAAACCAGTATGCTTGTAATAGCCCTATAGTTGCCTTAGTTAAGTTTGCTGCAACTCATTTTATGTATTCTTTTAATTTTGATCCCTGGATTTTTAATTGACTATTAAACCTTCGTTAGGGTATATATGAAATGTAAAAATGTTGAGTTATAGTCTGCCTTTTTCTAAAATTTTAGATTGCATTTTTATATAGAAATTTAAGTTGCTCATAATCATTCTAGTGAATTTAAGCAGAAAGGTATTTATTACTCGGTATTAAATGGCTTATAATATTGTTGACAAGGTTCCACTGTAAAATAGTTCACCAAGGGAACTGTGGCCTCTTCTGTGATCAAGAAGCCATCTGTCAACTTGGGAAGCTTCCACTACAGCGCGTAACCCCAAACTGCATTGAGTAGGAATCTGTAATAATCATGAAGGTTCTACCTTTGCACACTCTGTAAACCAGTGTGAACCTGCTATAATTTGTAACCACAAAATGGTGCCTGTTGATACTTACGAAGCATGTCATTGTGTGCTGGGTTCTTTGCTAATACTTTCTTGTAAAAATTAAATACCTCCACAATCATGCATGCCAGCAGAAACAGCAGAGGAATAGCCTTGGCCTCACTTCCTGCTTATACCTGTCATGCAAATATACAGAACCCAGGACCTTAGCTGAAAGGGAGTTTGGGAACTAGTGTTTGTACTGTCCCAGATTCTGCAGTGGAAGAATTCATAGTGGATGGAAGGTAGAATGACCCTTGAATTACAGTCAGCCACATTCACCACAAATAACATTAAATAAGAGTAATTTTCCATAAAGCTCTATGTTTGTATACTTCCTTTTTTTTGTTTGTTTTTGTTTTTGCTCAGTCTGGAGTGCAGTGGTGTCATCATAGCTCACTGCAGTCTTGATCTCCTGAGCTCAAACGATTCTCCTGCCTCAGCTCCTGCTTCAGTCTCCTGAGTAGCTGGGACAACAGGTACACACCACCACACTTTGCTAATTTTTTATTTTTTATTTTTTGTAGAGATAGGGGACTCACTGTGTTGCCCAGGATGGTCTTGAACTCCTGAGCTTAAGTGATCCTCCCAAAGTGTTGGGATTACAGGCATGAACCACTGTGCCTGGCCCATAAACTTGTATATATATTTAAAAGTAGTATTTAAATGTAGGATGAATGAAAGAGGCAGTAAGAGGACAAAGTGAATGAAAAAGTACTTTCATAGGGAGTGAAAGCTGGAGAGGTCTCTTTGTTAGAGGAAAACAGAATTGCATGTGACAGACTAGCTTTCTTAACATTTCTAGAACTTGATGGCTGTGAAGAGCCTTCCATAGGAATTCTCCCTTCACTTAGGAAACATACGTCGAAACCATCAGCTATTTAGCATGCACCTTCTTTTCCTGGTCTTTCTCAGTGAAGCAGCTAAATTATAAATGATCAAGTAAACTTTACAGTGTATCATATGCGAAAGCACAGTAAAAACAAAAATGCATTGGAAGCTGTGAGTTGTTGCACTGCACTCATGGATGAGTAGCTATTGGTTTGCATTGCTTTTCTTTGTTTGTTTGTTTGGTTTTTGAGATGGAGTCTCGCTCTGTCGCCCAGACTGGAGTGCAGTGGCGTGATCTCGGCTCACTGCAAGCTCCACCTCCCAGATTCACGCCGTCCTCCTGCCTCAGCCTCCTGAGCAGCTGGGACTACAGGCGCCCGCCACTACACCCAGCTAATTTTTTGTATTTTTAGTAGAGACGGGGTTTCACCATGTTAGCCAGGATGGTCTCGATCTCCTGACCTTGTGATCCGCCCACCTTGGCTTCCCAAAGTGCTGGAATTACAGGCATGACACATTGCGTTTTATATAATTCTCATGGTTCTAGTCTCGAACTGTAGGATTTTGATCACTGTTTCAAACAATAACGTGAGTTTGCTAAGAGATCTAAATAACAAAAGCTAAGTGTTCCAAACACATATCCAAACCTATACACTGGGAAATGCATCTGAATTATATGTGAAATTTCCTGCCATTATTTAAGACACAAAAGGAACATTATTTTGATAATGTATTTATTTGTGAGTTGAGTGTTCAGAATGAGCACGATGGGTATAACATTTTTGTATGTTTTTAAAGTTGAAATTTAGTGTAAATCCAAAGAATCAATAGACAAGTCTGTGTTTTACTTAACCTGTATGTTTAAATTAGCATTTTTAGATACTGATTTTATTTTAATTTCAGAATTCTCAGCGTCTTGCAGATCAATATCGCAAGCACAGTTTGTTTGGCACTGGCAAGGATCAAACAGAGAGTTGGTGGAAGGCTTTTTCCCGTCAGCTCATCATTGAGGGATTCTTGGTAGAAGTTTCTGGGTCTAACAAATTTATAAAGATTTGCACCCTTACGAAAAAGGTAAACAGTATAGGAGTCTGCCTGTTTGACTTAATTTTGTTTCCCACTCTGTATTAAAAGATCCTTTTTGCTTTTAATAGGGTAGAAATTGGCTTCATAAAGCTAGTACAGAATCCCAGAGCCTCATCCTTCAAGCTAATGAAGAATTGTGTCCAAAGAAGTTTCTTCTGCCTAGGTTCATTTTTCAGTTTTTTTCTTGTAACTTCTGGATTTTTTGTTGCTATTTATGTGATTCAAATTACACCAGTTTATAGGCCTCTCACAAGTAAAATGAATTACCTGTTTGTTTTTGTATGCCTGTTTTAGTCAGTTTGGGGGAAGGGATCTGTGAGGAAAGGATAAGTCATAGAGCACTTTTCTTTTTTAAGAGACAGGGTCTCTCTGTGTCTCTCAAGCTGGAGTGCAGTAGTGCGATCATAGCTCACTGCAGCCTCGATCTCTTGGGCCCAAGTAATCCTCAGCCACCTGAGTAGCTGGGACTATAGACATGCACTACTGTGCCCAGCTAATATATTTTAATTTTTTGTATATAGACAGGGTCTTTCCTAGGCTGGTCTTGAACTCTTGAGCTCAAGTGATCCTCCTACCTCAGCCTCCCAAACTACTGGGATTGCAGTCATGATCCACCGCTCCCAGCCAGAACACTTTCTTGGTTGATGGGAAGTAGCTGACCATGGTATTTAGAAAGCTTCTTTCTCATTGATTAAAGAAGCAGTATTGAAATCAATGCTGAGGAATCCATATATCGTATTTACTTCTCACGTGTAGAAGTGGAAAGGGAGGGAATATATTGGTTGCTTACTTTTTTATACCTTTACAGGCATTGATCACTTGTGAGTTTTCTGTTTCAAACTTTTTAAAGCTTCTAGAGCTTTTTTCTGGAAAAAAGTCAGTTTTAAAAATTGCCGGTTCTAAAAGGGTAATATCTTATTCATCTTTCTGAGAGTGGAGTATGATGATTCATGAATTAGATACTTGCATCTTAACATTTGAGATAATTTAATTTTATTATTTTTCAGCTCGAGAACTGTATCTTCAGGCACCAAAGAGCATTCTTATAATCAAGTACCAGTTGAATTAACTGCAGAGAAGAAGGTTTGTTTTAAAGAAATTGTTCCTATATATTTCATTCTTTATTGATTTAACTTCTGTTTAAAATTTTATATTTTAATTCCCTTCCAATTAAAGAGAAAATTGCATATATAACAAAACATAAAATTTGGCAAGAGAAGTGATGTGAACAGACTAGAATATATGGTATATAATTTCTGGGGCTAATAAAGAATTGGAAGTATTTGAGAAAGGAATTTATTTGGGTTCTTTTAAACCTATCTTCTAACTCATTTGGCTTAGAGTGTTCACACGTTATAATACTTGTAGTTGATCAAAAAATAAGCCTGATTCCTAAGTGTTCTTATTAGAGCTACACACACACACACACACACACACACACACATTCTCTCTCTCTTTCTGTCTCTCTCACACACACACACACACACACACACACACTCACTCACATACTTTCTTGCTTTTTTTGATCTAAGATCTTAGATAACTATTACAGATTAAATACTAATCCACTGGCAGACTTCAGCTGATCACTGGAATAATAGGCAAGTATAGTGAATTACATTTTCTGGTGAACCTTTTCTGCTTTATTGAAGTATGCAGAATGTAATTGAATTGTTTTTATAACTTTGGCACTTGCTATATCTTAGAGCATTCTTTTGATGATTTATTTTCTATAGTTTTGGGAGGGATAAGACATTGGATTGCGTTTCTAACTACCTTTAGAACTTTAGAAACGGATAATTTAGGAGGTTGTTCTCAGGTGATTTATTTGATGGCTTGATTATGCAAAGAAAAAATTGTGATTGTGAGATTTTTGTTTCTTATTTTCTTCACATTTAAAAGGTTTTTGAAACTTCTTTTTTTAATGGACCTTTATATGTTTAAATGCAGTCTAACTTGGAGAAGTTATATTCTTACAAACCATGTGATAAGGTTTCTTCTGGGAGTAACATTTCTAAAAAAAGGTACAGAGTTCCATATTTCTATGTTCTATACTTACTTTATGAGTACTTTTTTTCTAAAGAGAAAGGACTGTCAGATGTTGGGCTATTTCATTGGCAAAAGGAAGTTAAATTTAAAACATAAGCCTTTCAGTATTAGAATGATCAAAGTGAGCTACAAAATAATAATGTTAATTTAATAGCTAACACTTCTTGGATATTACTGTTTGTCAGGCATTATGTTAAATGCTGAGAGCTTTATATGTGATATCTCGTTTAATTCCTACAAGAGCCTAACAGATAACAGATAGTTATCCTATAGATAACTATAAAATTATCTATCGCCATTTTATAGTTGAAGATACCAAGGGTTAGGAAGTTGACTAACTTGTTCAAGAGCTTACAGCTAACGGCCGAGCTGGCTTTCAAATCTATATTTGCCTACCTCTAGCATCAGGACACTATTTATTTTTTTTTGCGTGAAATATATACAGGCCTACTTTGTTTTATTGTGCCTTGCTTTATTGTGACTTGCAGGTATTGCATTTCTTATAAATTGAAGGTTTGTGGCGACCCTGCGCCAAACAGATCGTGTTAGCCCCATTTTCCAATAGCGTGTCCTGTTGTCATGTCTTTGTGTTATGTTTTGGTAGTTCTTGCAATATTTCAAATGTTTTCATTATTATCTTATTCATTATAGTGATCTATGATTGGTGATCTTTGATGTTACTATTGTAATTGTTCTGGGGTACTATTAACCATGCCCACATAAGGCAGCAAACTTAGTAAGTGTTATATGAGTTCTCACTGCTGCATTGACTGGCCATTCACCATTTCTCTCCCTCTCCTTGGGCTTCCCTGTTCCCTGAGATATAACAAGATTGAAATTAGGCCAATTAATAACTCTATAATAGTCTCTAGGTGTTTGTTTGTTTGTTTGTTTTCTCAAGACTGAGTCTCACTCTGTCGTTCAGGCTGGAGTGCAGCGGCGCAATGTTGGCTCACTGCAACCTCCACCTCCCGGGTTCAAGCGATTCTCCCGTCTCAGCTTCCTGAGTTGCTGGGGCTACAGATGCCTGCCACCATGCCTGGCTAATTTTTGTATTTTTAGTAGAGATGGGGTTTTGCCATGTTGGCCAGACTGGTCTTGAACTCCTGACCTCAAGTGATCCCCCGCCTTGGCCTCCTGAAGTGCTGGGATTACAGGTGTGAGCCGCTGCACCTGGCCCATCTCTAAGTGTTTAAGTGAAAGGAAGATTCACATGTCTCTCACTTTAAATCAAAAGCTAAAAATGATTAAGCTTAGTGAGGAAACCATTTTAAAAGCTGAGATAGGCCAAAAGCTAGTCCTCTTGCACCAAACAGTTTCCAAAGGCAAAAGATCCTGAAGGAAATCAAAAATGCTACCCCAGTGAATACACCAATGATAAGAAAGCAAAGCAGCCTTTTTGCTGATACGGAGACAGTTTTAGTGGTCTTTATAGGAGATCAAACCAGCCACAACATTCCCTTGAGCCAAAGACTAATCCAGAGCAAAGCCCTAACTCTCTTCAATTCTCTGAAAGCTGAGAGAGGTGAGGAAGCTGCAGAATAAAAGTTTGAGGCCAGCAGAGGTTGGTTCATGACGTTTAAGGAAAGAAGCTATCTCCATAACATAAAACTGCAAAGTGAAACAGCAAGTGCTGGTATAGAAGCTGTAGCAAGTTATCCAGAAGATCTAGCTAAGATCGGCGATGAAGGTACCTGCACTTACAGACTTTGAATGTAGACCAAATACTTTCTACCAGAAGAAGAAGCTGTCTAGTACTTTCATAGCTTGAGAGAAGTCAATGCCTGGCTTCAAAGCTTCAAAGGACAAGCTGACTCTTGCTAGAGGCTGATACAGCTGGTGACTTTAAGTTGAAACCAATGCTCATTTAGCATTCTGAAAATCCTAAGGCCCTTAAGAATTAGGCTTTTTCTACTCTGCCTGTGCTACATACATGTAACAACAAAGTCTTGATGATACCTCTTTAAAGCGTGGTTTACTGAATACTTTAAGCCCATTGTTGAAACCTGCTTAGACAAAAGATTCCTTTCAAAATATTACTGCTCATTGATAACACTTAGTCACCAAGAGCCGCAATGGAGACATACAAGGAGATTAATGTTGTCTTCATGCCTGCTAACTCAACATCCATTCTGTAGCTCATGGATCAAGAAGTATATTAACCTTTCAAGTATTGTTATTTAAGAAATACATTTTGTAATGCTTTAGCTTCCGTAGATAGTGATTATCAGAGAAAGGTTTTTAAGAGGTTTTCCAGAAAACCTTCTGGAAAATATTCTCTATTCTGGATGTCATGAAGTATATTTGTGATTCATAAGAGTAGGGAAAAATATCAATATTAATAGGAATTTGGAAGAAGTCGATTCTCATTAAAATCAAGAGTTTAGTGATAGACATACTGAGTTTGGGATACCTGTGGAATAGTCCAGAAATTAATTTAAATATATGGGCTTAGTGTACAGAAGTGAGCAGCAGGATGCTTATATATCAATAACTATTATTTTAAAATGTATTGAAATTTTCCTTAAAATAATACCTATACTTGATTGAAAAAGTTAATTGGAAATTAATGGCTTATGACAAGCATACCAGCCCACACTCTTCCCAAACTCACTTTGCTGTTGTTCATAGAGGCTGTCATCTTTAAATCTTTCAGCTGATTTCTCTGGCCTGTGCCTTTTTATTTCTGAATGATATGCTTAGAATACTATTTTTTTGACTTACCAATTTTAGAAATTTTCTACTCACCTCCTATCACAGTAGATTTCCTCTCCTTCATTCCTCCGCCAATATAATTATATTTCATCATATTAATAATTCATTTATATATTTTTAAATATAATAATATGATAATATTGTATTTATATTATTATAACTACGCAAATATTATATGCATACTACTAACCCAGCCATGTTATTATGACCACCCACTACCTTTATTTTTTTCCTCGTGTTAGTGATTGTCTTTGTGTTCTTTTCTTGGTTTTTAGTGTTCCTTTTACTAATTTTCTTTTTTCCTATTTCAGTCTCTCATTGTTTGTTTACTCATTGGAGTGTTGCTTGACTTTTATCCCCTCCCACCTAGTGACATTTTAATTTTAGTTATCAAATTTTTAATTTCTAAGAATGCTTCTTGTTCTCTTCTTGTTTCTTCTTCCCCACCAGCTAAAAATCTATGATGTTATAACAAGGATCATAAATTGTATCCCAGTAGATTAAGAAATCTTGGTTAAAACCTGTTGTATCCCAGTAAGTTGAAAGATGTTAACGTGTCGTATTTTCTTTCAAAAGCAGTTGGTTGAGGAAGAGAATGGAACAAATGCTCTTTTTAAAACACAGCAATTTTGTGATGAACTCAAATTGCAGTTTTAACTTTGCCATTATAATGAATGTATTTGATCCAAAATTTTTTAAATCTAGGCTGTTGTCTTTTAAATAACAAATTACCTTACTGGTATCATGAAGAGTAAATGTTAGTACTGATTTGGAAAGACATTCTCATTTAGGAGATGAAATAGAAAGTAAATGAGGAGAAAGAAAAGCTTTTATTATTTATTTTCTTTTAAATATTTTAGTATCATGGTGCAGGCACCAGAAAAATCTTACAGTTCCTCAGAACCTGTTATTTCGGCACAAGAGCAGGAGACTCAGGTAAGGCTTTTGTAAAAAGGTAATTAGTTTATGATAGGGTAGTTATGATTCTATGCATGCTTAAAATTCTGTATTTTGCCAGTATTTTAAAAATTGTTCTTAAGCTAAGAATCTGAGTTTATATTTCAGTTTATATTCATTCTAAGGAAAAATGTGGGATCTGAAGCTCTAAAAATAAAGGACTGGATCTTTTAAGTACATTTTTAAAAGTATTGAGTTGTTTCTTTGTTTTTTGTTCAGACTGTGTTATATGGCAAATTGGTAGAAGCTAGGCAGAAACATGCCAATAAAATGGATGTTCCCCCAGCTATTCTGGCAACAAACAAGATACTGGTGGATATGGCCAAAATGAGGTAAACTATCTTTTGCATGTGTTCTCATTTATTTCCTTCTAACAAAATTTATCCAAGTTGATAATATGACCATAGCTTCCACTGTCACATCTGGGAGGTGACTCAAATTCCCCCTGCTGCGATGCTTATCTCTTTGCCAAGCTTTAGTACCACATTTCTATATGAATAAAAACCAGTTACGTTTTCAGCAATCATATTCAATATATATAAAATCTAACTCATTATCTACCCACCCTGCATTTTATTCAAATGCCAAAATTCCTCTTTTTGGATTCTTTTTGATTATCATACCGTCACATTCCTAGTCAGAGGTTCCTAATGCTTAAAACCTCTGATCTGAATTTTCTCTCCTCCAACATAAAACCTTTTCCTCCTCCTCCTCCTCCTCCTCCTC